TGAGACAGGGTCTCCCTGTAGCCCCAGCTGTCCTGGAACTCACTATGTAGATCAGGCTGGCCTTGAACTCACAGAGATCCACCTGCCGCTGCCTCCCGAGTTCTGGGACTACAGGTGTGTGCCACCACGCCCGGCTGAAAATTATACATTTTATAAAACAGAAATCTAATATAAATTATTAGCAAAGCTTTCTGTTCTGCATGTCCTTTTTGTGTACTGTCTGCTGGTTTTGCTAATGTGTTATGCTGTGGAAGGCCTACCTAACATTCATGAGGCCCTGGGTTGGACTCCAACACCCCATAAAACGGGCCTGGTGTACTCCTGTAAGTTGAGTTGGGGCAATGGAAGCTGCAGTCAGAAGTCAAGGATGTCCCCTGTGATACACAATGTGTTCTTGGCCAGCGCAGGCTGTATGAGACCCTATCTCAAAAACAAAACAAAACAAAAAAAACACCACCACCACCAAACTGCTTCTCGGTGTGTGTTTGGTTTTAATTGAAAATTAATTAAATTTCAAGATTGTATTGCTTTTCTCCCTTAAAGTGGTTGGTTACCTGGTAAGCAGTGATGTCTCAAGCCAATAAAGGGCAAATGTGGGTGTGACTTTAGGCTTTTCATCGTCCCCAGGGTTCTCAGCTTGCCCCAGTACAGACACTCTGGCTCATTGGGTACCTGGGACCTATCTGTCTTTGGTCTCAGGGTGTGCTTGTGCTCACTGTCTGCAGTTTATGTTGTGGTGTTCAGGCCTTAGGATAGTTTGAGAATCCTGTTGTCCTCTGTCTATTTTGCTGGCTCACAGAGTGTGAGCTGGTTTGCAGTCTTGCCTAGAACTATCACGCTTTCTGAGAGAAGGTTTTCTTCAGCACCGCATTACCCATTTGCAAAGTGGTCCAGTCGTTTTCTGTAGCAGATACAGTACAAGTCTAATTATGGTCCGGCATTCTTCCCTAAGCCTGTGGTACAAACTTTGTGAGAACTCAAGTTCTGTATGTTTTCTTCAGTTTCTTACCTCTAGTACAAAATTTGTTTTTAATGGAGTCTGTGAGATGAATAAAAACTGCAAAAAAAAAATATTGAGACTACTCTGTCAAAGATTATTTTTCTACTAGTTGAGTTTTCTTTTTTAAAAGTTTTGTATTAGGGGCTGGAGAGATGCTCAGTGGTTAAGAGTGCTGTCTGCTCTTGCAGAGCACCCAGGTTCAGTTCCCAGCACCCACATGGTGGCTATCAGTGCTTCCTAACTCCATTACCAGAGGATCTCACGGCCTCTTCTGGTCTCCATGGGCATTGTACAACATGGGTACACTTGCATACACATGCAGGCAAAGCACTCATACACATAAACTAAAAATAAATTTTAAAAATAATCTTTAAGTTTATATTGGGGGCTGGAGAGATGGCTCAGTGATTAAGAGCATTGGCTGCTCTTCCAGAGAACCTGAGTTCAGTTCCCATTATTCAAATCAGGGGACTCACACCTGCCTTTAACTCCAGCTCCAGGGGATCCAACATTCTCCGTGGCCACTGGAATATACACACATAACACATAAAAAGTCTTTAGAAAGAGTCTTGTATTAGGGGTTTTTATTATCGCTACTCTCCTGAGTTCCCCCAGTGTTGTCACTTGATTTCTTATAAAGATGCAGTGAGATGGCTCAGCACTTGACGCCCAGCAGTGCAAGTCTCATGACCCAAAATTCCCAAAGCCCACATAAAGGAGGAAGGCGAGAACCAGCTCCACAGAGTAGCCCTCTGACTCACCCCTCCCATATACACAGACATACACACAGTGATAATAAAATGAAAATGTAAAAGCAGTGATACACGTTGTAGAAAACTCGGGAATTAGAGCAAGATTAAAGTCCACCCTCGATAACCACTGCTAGTATGTTGTTCCTTTTTCTTGGTTTTTTTTGGAGTGGGGGCACAGATCTTGTCTTACAGAGATCCTCCTGCCTCTGCTCCCTAGTCTGGAACTGAAGGCACCACCACACCTGCCTCTTATTTCCTTTTCTATCAGAATGCTATCCCTTTGAGAACTCTGGAAGCTGGTGCTGTGAGGTGCTGTCTGAAACCTCTCTGGTCTGTTGTATACATTGTGCGCCTGCCCTGCCCGCCGCATCTCTGGGCTCTGCCGAGTCCTCAGCCGAGTCCTCAGCCGTGCTCAGGCACGGGAAGCCTCCTCCCCCATGCTCTCTGCCACACCATTGGTCAGAAAGCTGAGCCTGGCCAGGATATCAGAACTTCACTGTGGGGGAGGAGGGACCAGTGAATTTTACGTAGTGTTCTGAAATCTTTACAGAATACCAGGGGAAACAGATGAGGAGAAGGTACTTGGATTTTGGTTTGGAGAGCATTTGGTTATTTGAATCTTAAAGAATCTGTGGAGTTAAAAGGTGGTTAAAGACAGTCTAGCCACTTCGGTGGTGCACGCCTTTAATCCCAGCAGAGGCCTCTCTGTGGAATGAAGACCACTCTGTTCCACATAGGGAGTTCCAGGCCAGTCAGGTCTACATAGCAAGATCATGTCTCCAGAAAAGGAGGGTGTGCAGAGATTTCCTCGTGGTTTCCAGAGTAAGGAAGTGTAAAGCTTGAGGGGTAAAAGAACAAGGAGTCTGGTCTGCGTTGGTGGAGATTTTTCTTTTTTTTTTTTTTTTTTTTTTTTTGTCTTTTTGGAACTCACTATGTAGACCAGGCTGTCCTCAAACTCACCTGCCTCTGCCCCACCAAGTGCTGGGATTAAAGGCGTGCGCCACCACGCCCAGCTTGGAGAGTCTTCTAATACAGCTGTTCACCTCCTATTTTCCTAGACTTACTTCATTCCGTCTATATTATTTTCCCTTACTTTGATACGTGTTAAGAATTGGCTGGTTTGTGCTAACCAGTTTTAAACTTTTTTCTGGTAAATGAAAATTTTAATTACAAGCACAGTTATAAGCAATTTGTATTCAGTGCTTATAATAAACCCTACATAGATTTTACTTTTCTTCTTACTTGACAGATTGGGGTGGGGCGGGGAGAAACTAAGTCTAGCAAAATCAAGTAACTTGAAAAGTTTCCACATAACCAAGCAGTTAAACCCTTGTTTGGATGTAGCATTGTCTCTGTCCTTTTCTTTTCCAGTAGCCACATCTGGCTTAGATTCGATATGGAGACGCAGGCTGGCCTCAAGCTCACAAAGAACCTCCTGCCTCTGCCTCCAGAGTGCTGGGACTAAAGGCGTGCGCCACCACGCCTGTCTGTCTTAATCTTTTAACAGGTGAGAAATTACTCAGTGTCTTGGGCGTTCTTAGTCTAGGGTAGGGTTCATCTTTATATTTCTGTTTTACTCTTTTGGTGTTAAGAGGACACCAACTTCAGTGGGGAAAAGTAACCAACAGATTTAGTCACAATTATAGGCAACTACATGTTTTCAGGAAAGTGATGTCCAGTGGGGTTTTAGGGTGTCTGTCTTTGAGATGGATATTTCAGCAGTGTCTGTGGACCTCCTTCCTCCTCACTGGAAGCTAGGAGTGTGGCTTGGTGTGAATGTTGCTGTGCGGTGTCTTTTCACTATTTCTTGGGGGCTCATACTAGTTTACTTGTTTTACTGAACGTGTTTTATAGCTAAACACTCATCACACTAGTTTTACTAAACTTAGTAACATTTTATAGCTAAACACGTGTGCACATATGTTCCCTAACGTTTTTCTCAGCTTTCACAACTCCAAGACTTAGTAATATAAACATTGTTCTTTGATTTTGTGCTTTTTGAAATAGGTTATAGCTGCATATCAGACATTCTCTCTCTCTCTCTCTCTCTCTCTCTCTCTCTCTCTCTCTCTCGACAGGGTCTTCCTATAGTCCCAGCTAGCCTTGAACTCACAGAGGTACGCCTGCCTCTGCCTCCCAATTGCTGGGATTATAGGCACGGGATACCATGCCCAGCTCTTTCTTTTTTAAAGACAGGGTCTCATGTAGTCCAGGATAGCTTCAAACTGTGCTGTGTAGCTGAGTGTCCTTGATCCTCCTGCTCCTGTCAACCAAGATTTGGGAATTATAGGCTTGTCCTGTCATGCCTTCTGGGCCACTGTTGGTATTTTCTAACATGATAAAAACTACTAAATTAGATCTTGGGGCTGTAGCTCAGTGGTAGAGAGCTTGCTTGAGTGAAGCCTTGCACCAGGAGGAAAAACATTGCTGAAAATGACTAAGTGATTGTTTTCTTTAAACTTCAGTTACAGCTCTTTTAAGGAAGCTTAAGCAGCAATCCAGGGAAAGTGTTGAAGAAAAACGACCTCGATTATTAAAAGCCCTGAAAGAGGTAGGCTAGATTTCTTAGCTGATTTTTCTACTTAATAATTAATTCTACAATAATTAATTATAAGTGTAATTGTAAGCATTTTTTAAAATGCAGTTAAATTCTCATTGAGTCAGTAAGTGGTTAAGATTATGTTTAAATTAAGCAGTAATTGAAATAAAATACTGTGATTTGTATGGTGTGTTCATATTAGAAGCAGCCGTTTTCTCTGACCTAGGAAGGTAAGGATTGATTGCTTAATAAATTACATAAGTACTCTTGGAGGAAAAAGGCAAGATGTGGTGGGTGGCAGTATTTTCCATTGTCCCTTGGGTGGGGCTTTGGGGCTGCTGCCGCTGTTTCAGAGTGAAGAGATGGGGCTCTGGTCTAGAAAGGGAGGGAGAATTGTGTTTCTTCTTGTTCGAGACAGAGCACCATGATGGCTGGCCTGTCCCCTCCTCCCGCCTTTCTCATCCCTTTTTTCATCTTTGCTTAGTTTTGAGGAAGTATGGGAAGAGCCAAAATAAAAATGATTTATTTAGGTTTTTGTTTAGCTTTTAATTTGTAAAATAATTTCTCTGTAGATCTCACATGAAACTTGTCTTAAGACTTCATAGGAGAAATTTTCTATCACAATGAATTGTTTTTTAGACCATTATGAGGCAATATAAATAATCTTGGTAGTCATTTTAAATAACATTTCAAGAGTTAGTTATTTTAAAGATAACACCTATGAGGGGAATGGAATATTTATTGATACAAATTAAAGGCCTTTCAATTTTAAGGACGTTCTTAACTGATTAAAAATCTTATTGGCTCTACAGTGGTGAATTTTTTTTTGTCACTAAGCATGCTAATGTGTGTGATGCTCTAAGTTGTAATAGCATTTTAATAATTTCCTCTTTTTCAAACTCAAGCATAATACTTTCTTATTTCTGTTATTTCCTTTTGACCTTTAATGATACCAGGTAGATTGTTTTTAGGGGACTGTATTGAGTGGGTGTGAGAGCTTGTCCCTAAGTGCAGTGACTGATTCTGTTCTTCATTTTGCAGCTTGGTGACTTCTACCTAGAGCTTCACTGGGATTTTCAAAGCTGGGGTAAGAGTGTGCTGTGTTTATTATAAAGCGTGTATTTATTTATAGCCACAGAAATAATCTTTATATAGAAATGTCAGCATAACACATTTGATGCTTGTCCTAAACAAAATTTATTTTTTGTGATGTTAAATATCATGACTATAAAACCCAATAGTAATAGTAAATTATCCTGACTTGATCAGCAACTCATAACTCTTGTTTTTAAGACTGAAAACTAAAGCTGGGCATGGTGGCGCAGAGGCAGATGGATCTCTGTGAGTTCAAGGCCAGCCTGGTCTACATAGTGAGTTCCAGACCAGCTGGGGCTATAGGGAAACCCTGTCTCAAAAAGACCAAGAAGAAAAAAAGACAGAAGGCTATACTCAAAAGTAATTTTTGTAGCAAAAATAGGCTTGAAAATTATACTGATTTTCCTGGGCATAGTGTCTCACACCTGTAATCCCAGCACTTCAGATGGTGAGACAGAAGGATTATTGCAAGTTCAAGGCCACCTTTGGCTAATACTGAGTGTTAGACCAATCTGGGTTACAGTGTTACAGTGCAAGACCTTGTTAACGTGTTGGGGACTGGAGTGGTGGCTCGGTAGTTAGGGACTCTGGCAGGACTGGGGTCTGGTGCCCACATGGTAGTTCCCAAGTCTCTGCAACCTCAGTTCAGGGATCCACGACCCTCTTCCCCAGGCACCAGGCGAATAGCTGGTGCACATACATACGTGAAGGCAAAGCACACACAGAATAAAATATGTTCAAAGAATATGTGTGTCTTTAACAACTCTTGAATTAACTTTTGTGATGTAAAGCTATTTGAATGCTTAAGTGGTATTTATTGTTAAAATAATATTGAAACCAGATACTGGTTTCCATTTTATAGCACTTTCTATAATGCTTGAAAGTTATATAACAGGTCTGTATTCCTACATTCTAATTGTTACATATCATTCTCTGTTTCTACTTTCTGTAATACACAGTACATTTGCTATTATGTACTTACCTGCTATACATAGGTCTTTCTCTTTCATACTAAAGACTGTTAACTAGTGGTAGAAGGTAAATGACACTTTGGTGTGGGGCCACAGCAGATTGATGAACATAGCTTAGTCTGAAGCATCCCAGTTCAGAATGCATTTGCCATGCCTGCGCACCTTCAGTCCGTCACTTAGGGAACAGCTTGTGAGGCTGGGGAGATGCTCGGTCAGTGCAGTGCCTGCGCACAGCATGAGGATCTGAGTCCTGGCCCCAGCACTTATGCTGAATGCTGAATGCCGTGGTGCTGAATGCAGTCCCAGCGATAGTGGGGAAACAGAAGGTCCAGGGGTTTGCTGGTCAGCTGGTCTAGCCCAACTGATGAACCATGTTCACTGAGAGACTGTCTCAAAAAATGGAGCGTAGTGCGTAATAGAGCAAGAAACCTGTCATAAACCTCTGACCTGCACATGCACATGCACCTTGGAGGACAGAAATCTGAGGGTGAGGTATGGTTTTCGTTCCATAGGTTTTGAAACTGAGGTACAGTGAGCTTAAATAACTAGGGCACATATTTGGGGTACAAAGTTAAATTCATGTCGCTATTAACATACATTACTTTGCTGTTCTTTTTCTGAATGCTTATTCAAGGGATCTCAGACGAGACTCAGGGTCTGGTTTACCCATTGAGGAGGGAAAGCCTTGTTGCTACAGTAGTGTTTTCCCACGGTGGCCCAAAGCAGAGTCAGGCTGGCTCTGCTGCCCTCGATGTGCTTCTGGGTGAGGTTAACTTTACAGTGAAGCACATTGAAACTGCACTTGGGTAGTAGATGTTTGAAATTGCTCCACATTGCTTTATATATGGTATTCCTTTCTAAGTAGAAAAATACCACCTTAAAGAAAACTATTACCATTTAGTAAATTACTGAGATGTTGATTATGTTGCTCTTTTAAAATGTTCAAGAGTCTCGGAGTGTAGCTGGTTGTTTACCTCCTTTAAATTCACAGTGCCCCTGCTTTCCCGGATTCTGCCTTCTGATGCATGTAAGATATACAAGCAAGGTATCAACATCAGGTAAGACAATATCCTGTGAGTTCTGACTAGAAAGTTGACGTTTGGAGGACACTTTTCCTTCCTGAGTCATCATTCACTTCTCTTTCATAACAAAATGCTGTACCGTGTTCACGTGTTTTCCTCATTTGAGAGCTGTTACAGATAAGGAACTGAAGCCATAAAAATCCTCCTCCAAACCAAGATGAGCTTGTCACTCACGGAAGACGCCAGCTGCAGAGTAGCCAGACTGCCCCGTTCTTCCTGACCTGTCCATTTAGGACAGGGACACCTAGGGAAGACCTGCTTCCACATCTTCTTTTCCTGTTTCTCTACCCGTACAGCGTCCATCCATTCATCGCTCATGCCGTGCCCATGGAGGTCAGAAGAAAACGTTAGGAGCCCCTGGAACTGGAGTTATGGAAGGTTGTTGGCCACCATGTGGGTGCTGGGAATCAAGCCTGGGTCCTTTGCAAGAGCAGTCAGTGCTCTTAACCGCTGAGCCATCTCTCCAGCCCCATTTTAGCCAACTCTTTTAAGAGTAATTTTAGTTTTCATTGGCTCTCTTCCTTTTATAATTATGATTGCTGTTTGAGTCGGATAAAAAACATTTGGGCTGATTCTAAAATTTTACTTTTATAATTTTCATATCTTGAGCTTATTAATGTAAGCATATTTATAAATTATGCATGTGTAAGCTATAATACTAATGAATATGGTGACTTAAATAGCTATGCATGATGGGTAGATACATTTATAAGTAATGTGTATATACATGTACACGCTGACAATTTTGTATCTATACATCTCCAGATTATTAATTTGAATGTTAGAGAATCAAAACTATCTTAAAGGATTGCTCAGTACAAACATTATTTGTAGATAGAAAGCTCAAAGTGGTAGAAGGATTTTTTTCTTTTTAATGAGCATTTTATATTATACTCCATTTGATTCTGGCTTAGACAAAAGTGAACTACTTAAATTGTTTCACATTTACTTGTTGCTTTTTTAAGTTTCCAATTATTGTTTTTTGTTAATGTTTTATTGAATTTTTGTGCATTTCGTACAGAATACCTTAATCATCTTTCTACCTCTTCCCCGTTGGCCCCTCCCATAGCCCCACCCCAGAGTTCATGCACTGTCATTTGTGTTAAGGCCTGTCGAGTCAAATTAGTGACCCCAGACATCCCTCAGTGCAAGTTCATGTACTGATGGTCTGGTCAGCCTATTTAGAGTCGCTCCCTTTAACCTGTGGCTTTTTAAAGTGAAAGGTCCATAGACTGGCAGCATACTCAGTGAGGGCACACCAGCCTGCAGGTGTGAAGTCCTGGATTTGATCACCAACTCTGCAAAGAGAGTAAATTACACTCACACATTGCTAAGTAAACCCTGTGGATGTGTGGATGCTAAGACGCAAATCGTTCACTTTAATAGGGACATGAGAGAAAGGACCTAGGCAAGGTAATTGTGGTAAAAGTTATTGCTTATGAGGAAGCTACTGTAATTTAGGGAGTTACTGGACTTAGGGCTTCCTGGAACCTGAGGCTGAGGAAGAAATGGTACAAGCTCCACCCTCGCACGAGCACTCAGCTTTCCAGTCAGCAGAGAGGCCGGACTGGAGGGCAAAGGCTTTGTGCCTTGAGTATGATGTTCTGTCTAAAAAGGTGCTAATATAATAAAAACTTCTTGTTTTAAATGTCCTAAGACAGGTCCTTTGAACATGTCACAGGAGATTGAATTGTATAGTGTGTCATAGGGAGATCTGTGACGTTGGTAGCTACCACATTCAGACCAGTGATCTTTGGGATACCTTCTACTTCAGAAGACACAATGTGAGCAGCACCATTGCTACAATAGCTAGTATGGACAGGGTGACTTTGAGGTCGGCCTGCGTCATGCATGTAGTAAGTTCATGCTAGCCTGGACTAGTTACTAACATTTTTATTAATAGCATTGATAGTAAGAAGTAATCTTGCTGGGTGTGGTGGCACACACCTTTAATCCCAGCATTTACGAGGCAGAGAGGTGGATCTCTGTGAGATTGAGGTCAGCCTGGTCTCCATAGTAAGTTCCAGGCCAGCTGGGGCTACAGGGAGACCCTGTCTCAAAAAAGAAGAAAAAAAACCCCCACAAAACCCCCCAAATTCGTCTGTGATGGCCACAGTGGTCATGGTGGTGTACGCCTGTCATCTCAGCAGCTGGGTTGCTGAAGGAGGAGGGTCAGGTGTTGAGGCCAGCCTGCGCTCCATGATCAGGCCCTGTCTTGAGTGAGTGAGCAAGAGTAGTCACTACAAGGCACTGTGGTCTGCTTGCTCCACTGAGGGGAGGTGTTCTTCTGTTTCTGGCTTTTCATCAAATTTTTTTTTTTTCTGATTCAAATTTTTGAATTTCTTCAAAGAACTTTGTGTTCTTGTTTAATTACATGGCAGAATTTAAATATTTAGGCCCATCATGCACCATGGTATTTGTCTATGGTCCCAACTGCTTGGGAGGCAGAGTTGTGGGCTCTAGTGCACTGTGCTGACTGGGTGCCCTCTAGGAGTCGGGAACCTCCAGTTTACCTAAGGAAGAGGTGCACCGGCCCAAGTCAGGAAGATGTTTAGGCCATAGGCTTAAAGCCAGGTCCTTGTTAAAGTAGTTAAGACATTCCAGTGCTGGGCTTGAAGAGATGGCTCAGCAGTTAAGAGCACTGGCTGCTCTTGCAGAGGACTCAGGTTCAGTCCCCAGCACTCACATGGTAGCTAACAACTGTCCAGTTTCAGGGGCTCTGATGCCCTCTTCTGATCACTGAGGGCATTGCATGATGAATGAACTTACATATATGCAGGTCATACACACTCTTACACACAAAGTAAAAATAATTATTTTTTAAAAGTTGCTAGTTTTGATTCTAGGTTTCATGTAGCTCTAGTTTCTCTTGATGTAGCCTGTGAGACGGGTTTCATGTGTCAGCTTTTCTTATGTAAGAAAATCAAGAACATCAGTCCATTTTGTATTGTCTGTGAGAAAGCCCGAGATGGAAATAAAATAACCAATTCTTACAGCTGCATCCAAAATGCAGGTAGATCTCTCAGGAAGACTTACGGTTGCTGTCTGAGGGTGTGAACCTCTCTTGACAGCTCTGCTAGCCAGTTTCCGAGATTGGACACTGTGTTTTGAGCCCATAGTGAACCAATCTAGTAACCTATAATGTAAGCCTTGTGCAAGAATGAAATGCCTCACGTGTTGGTAAGCCTTTTCATTCGCATATCTTTCCTGGTTTCTACACGTAGTGATTTGTGGAATGTCGGCAATAGCCCAGTGGGCTAGACTGTGGACCAAATGTAGACCACAGAAGGTCCAGGCTACTGAAGAGCACTGTAAACATCTGACTCTATGGGTCCATGCATATTGGTAGAGAATACTCTCTGTCCTAGTTTCTTTCCTATTGCTGTGGTAACAATAGCCTGGCAGAGAACTGAGTGAGGAAGGGTTCGTCCAGCTTACAGTTTAGGCCACTGTCCACAGCAGGAAGTCACAGTGGCAGGAAGCTGTCACATTGCACCCACAGCCAAGCACAGAGATGCTTGCATGCCTGCTTGGTGCTGGGCTCTCTTCTTGATTAAGACAGGCCAGGGCCCCAGGCCAGGGTCTTTCCTTACCAGTAAAGTCAATACAGTCCCTGCAGACATGCCCGCAGGCCAGCCTGATCTAAACAGCCCTTCCTCCCAGGTGATTCTAGATTGTGTCAAGTTGACAAACCTAACCACCACAATCTGCAAGTCTTTGAGCCTGAAAAAACCTTGAGGGTTTGCAGTAGGGTCACCATGTTTGGTCAGGTTGAAGGGTAAACTATAAGGTTTGATAACAGGTAAGTAGGCATTAAGTAAGGCTCTAAGTCAGAAGGGCGTTCTCAGTCTGAGAGTGTGGCCTACAGCTTGTTCTGCTCCTCTTGAATACTCTGCTCTGGTGCCATGGTCTAAGACGTGAGACTGTTGACGTCTGCTCTCCTGTCTGTCCTTCCCTGTGGAGGGAGCTGCAGCTCCCAGAGTGGTAGGGAGTGGGTACAGGAAGAGGTAGTTCAGCCGTGGGAAAACGCTTCCTGCTCGTTTAACGAAGCGTATGTCCAGAGAAATGAGATACAAGTACAATGGTGTATGTTTTCAAACATTTTAAATTTGCCTTTTATCTGTGAATTTAAATTTGGGATGGTATTAACATCTTAGTTAGAGTTTGAGAGGCACAGCGCTTATATGATTATTAATAAAGTTTCATTACAGTTCTGTCAGTTTCTTACCTGCCTATCTTTCACAGGCTTGACACAACTCTCATAGATTTTACTGACATGAAGTGCCAACGAGGGGATTTAAGCTTCATTTTCAATGGGGATGCTGCGCCCTCTGAGTCCTTTGTAGTATTAGACAACGAACAGAAAGTTTATCAGCGAATACACCATGAGGTGAGCATGCTGTCTTGTCAGTATTTCTCTTAGGGTTAAAATGTCTATGTGTGCAGGGTGTATTGGTGCACACCTTTAAACCCAGCACTCAGGAGGTAGAGACAGGCGGATCTCTGAGTTCAAGGCCAGCCTGGTCTACATAGTGAGTTCCAGGACAGCTGGGACTACAGGGAGACCCTGTGTCAAAAAGTAAAAAAAAAAAAAGTCCATGTATTTAGTGAAGCCTCTGTGTAATTGCTTTTTTAAAAGCATAAAGTGCAGTCAATATGGTTAATTCTCAAAGCTTGCTTTTCTTACCTAGACCCCCACCCCCAATCTGGTTCCCACCCTGACCAGCCCATCAGCTGACTCAGAATTCATTGATGATCTCCTGGGTCAGTGAACGGCAGCTTCTTAAGTTCTCTGGTTTTCCTTGTTGAGCCTGTGTTGCCTGCTACCTGCTATCCCAGCAGCTTAGCTGGTTTCAGTGGTGTTGGCCTCTGTAGCTCTGTGATACGAGCACCTCTTTTGGCTGTTACTCTCTGACTTTTCCTGACTATTTGGCTCCTTTTCTTTCATTAATGACCTCTGTACATTGAATCACCACCATTGAAAACCCACTCTATTTGAGCCTTTCCCTCCTGTGAACCAAAGGCTCTTTAGTATCTTATGTTGCCAAAGGCTCTACAAGTAAATCTTGAGCTGGCTTCTTTGAGGTGGGGTGTGTAGAGCTGAACGTCCTGTGGTGGGGTGTGTACAGCTGAGTGTCCTGAGGTGATTGTAAAGCCCCTCCCTCCCTCTTTGTTTTTACTGGGTCTTTGCCTTTCATCTCTTTACTTCTCCGCATTCTTCAGTCACTCACAGGTCATGCTGCTTTCTCACCTTTAGTTCGAGCGGCTCATTGCCATGTCGATTGTAGACTTCAGGTAACCTCAACTTTAGTTAACTTTACTATGGGCACTATTAAAATTGTTTCCTAACTCATACTGAGAAATGGTGGATTTACAGTAGAAAGGAAGGAAAAAGAAGAAAAAGCATTCCTTGGAGAGGAACTTGGAAGTCAGGAAAGGACTTCAGGACCAGAGTGACTGCAGGAAAGGCTTCTTTTGAAGTAATTCATGAAAGACCTTGAAAGCCAGAAAGGATGACTGGTGTACCGCAGCTGTCAGCAGAGGACAGATAAGGCGTTGATCTGACCCAAAAGTAATTTTGGAGAATCGATCTTAGCATTTCTTTTGCGTGCCAACCTACATTTTCCCTCCTTACCTCCCTTCCTCCCTCTTGTCCATCAAGCGTGTAATGTAGACACCGCTAGGTCCTGTGGGTAACATATAGTTCTGATGATGCATGTCAGTTACTAGAGTGTCATCCCTCAGTAGCCTGCATATTGGGGTCATAGTCAAAGTGTTTCACAGTTTTCCTCCTTGAGGAACCCGAGAAAGGCAGTATCTACGTTACAAACAGGCTCTGACATCATACAGCCTGTTATTTTAGGTGCCTTGTGCTTAGTTCATCACAGTTTCCTCATGCTGAATTCATCACAGTTTTCACAAATGCCAGGCTATTTAGGGCTTCATTTATTTGTGTTTCTACTTCTTGGACCCCCGAAGGCACCCTTACACCCAAGGTCACCGCTTAGTGTCATCTCCTCCCTGGCAGGTGACCATTACATTTATGCTCCTAATAATTCTTGAACCAGGGGCTAGGAGTGTAGCTCAGTTGAGAGTGTTTGCCTTGCAGCACGAGGCCTTGGATTTGATCACTTAAGTCAGATATGATGGTGCTTACCTGTAATCCCAGCATTCATTAGGTTGAGGCAAGAGGATCAGAAATTTAAGGTCATTCTCAGCTTCATAGCGAGTTTGAGTCCAGCGTGTATTTCATAAGACTGTGACTCAAAAAGAAGGAAAAAGCTGGGTGTGGTGGCACAGCAGCCCCCGGAGGCAGAGGCAGGGGGCTCTCTGAGATCAAGGCCAGCCTGGTCCACATAGTGAGTTCCAGGCCCGCTGGGGCTGCAGGAGACCCTGTCTCAAAAAGACTAAAACCCAGTTGTTCCTCCTTCTGTCCTCTCTGCTGGGCTAAGCTCCCTGAATGCCACCCAGTCCCGGTTCTGGTAGTTACATGTCTGGTACCTAACACAGCATTTAGACATAGGGCAACAGGCTCTTTGAGAGATAATAACGTTTTGGAATTTTAGATATGCTTGTGATCTGGAGAGACTGTCAGAACTGCTACCTCTGCCATCACAGAGTAACAATACCCATGGACAGTGAGTGAGCAAGCACCCCACAGCACAGTACTGTCTGATGTATAAAAAAGCAGGGCCTGAATTTGACTCTATAGTTCTAGATTCTTGGGTAATTTGATTTCTTGCATGTAAATGACAGCAGTGTAGTCAGTCAGACAACAAATGAGTTGCAAGTATGGTAAACAGAAGCCAGAAATAAGGCTCAGCAGTGAGTGTTAGTTGATGTGTGATGATCACAAGAGCAGTGAGATTGAGGGTGGGATTTGTGTGCCTGTCTGCATTTACAATGCCTAACAGAGCCTGGAACAGGAGTATAGTAGACCCTTTGTATTTGCAGATTAGCATAGTTTTTACACTCTGCGAGGTAGGTAGTACAGGTATCTAAAGATGATCTGAAGTCCAGGGGAGGATGTGCATAGGCTGTTTGCAGATACACATTTTATACAAGAGACTGGAGTGTCCCCAGGTTTGGTCTCTGAGGAGTCCTAGAGTCAAACTTCTGCGAGGGTTATTTATTGAAATAGCAAACATAAACATTAATTGCTCATTCAATGCTTATGGACGGAATGTAATTAACAGAATATCTTTTTCACTGATGGGTTAGGAGATGGTCTTTGATTTACAGAGGGTCCTGTTCCTAAAGCTTGTCCTAAAGTAAGTGACACACAGACAGGGCGATTATAGCTCAGCACCCAAGCTGATCTGTAAAGTTGTAGTTGAAGTGAAATATTCCATAATTCTTTTCTACCTACTCCATCCAAAAATACTTCTTTAGAAATTGTGTTCAGTATTTGTGTTACCCAGGAGTCTGTTTTCACCTGTTCCACGTTAGTGGTAATATCAAGACTTTGCATCTTTTGTGAGTGGACGAAATGGTTGGTGTAGTTCCAAGCCATTGCTGCGGATTCTGTAAATTCAGTGATGCAGGCAGGTGACACCCGAGGGAAAGTGAAGTGTGGAGAATAGAATCCATCCCTCTTTAAAGTCTAGAAATTGGGAGGGTAGACTAGTGCTTGCTCAACCTTCATTGCCCAGGTAATTCTCTGGCCTCTGCCTAATAGGAGAAGCTCGTAGTGAACCTGCAGCTTACTCACTTGCCCACACATAATCCTCTGTCCCCAAAACAAGTGCAAAGATTAGCTTTGCAAGCTTGGTGACCCGGGTTGGATCTCCGAAATCCACACAAAGGTGGAAGGAGAGAACCAGCTCCATAGTCATCCTGTGACCTCCACACGCATCATGAAATGCAAAACCACCCCCTCCCCGAAAAAAACTTAAATTAGAAAAGGAGCTGACCCTCAAGGAAGGCTGCTCGTAAGTTTGAGCCAGCTCATGTTGATGACTCCTTTCCTTCTTACAAGAAATACCAGGAGGCAGGTGTGGTTGTGCACACCTTTAATCCCAGCACTTGGGAGGCAGAGACGGGTGGATCTTGGGAGATCAATGCTAGCCCGCTCTCCATAGCAAGTTCCAGGCCAGTTGGGGATATAGGAATATCTTGTCTCAAGAAAAAAAAAGGAAAAGAAAAGAAAAGAAATATTAGAAGACCCTCCCCCTCTCCTAGTTCCTTAGAAGTTATTGAGAAAGACTCAAATGAAGGTGATGGATTTCTTTATATTAACAGTGAGTAGTCTGGTTCAACTGTATTTAAAGAAAAGGCAGTGGTAGGTGGATCTCTCTCCTGAGTACAAGGCTAACCTGATCTACATAGTGAGTTTCAGGCCAGCCAAGGCTACGTGGTAAAACCCTGTTCCAGAAAACAAAAAAGGAAAATGAGACCGTTGAACTTTATCTCAGGTCTTTCAACTTAATTCTTAATGTGGTTTTTTTGTTTTGGTCTTTTTGAGACAGGGTCTCCCTGTAGCTCCAGTTGACCTGGAACTCACTACGTAGACCAGGCTGGCCCTGAAATTGCTCCACAAACCATGTAGTTCTGTAATGGGTAGCACTGAGTTTATTGGATATTTATAATAGTGTAAAGGTACTCTATTTCATATACTCTGCTTCTAAAGGTTCATGACTAGTCGTAGTTTTGACTTGGGAGCAGACGTTGGATGTGAAAGTTAAATGTCTATTTAAAAGAACAGCATTCCACACTATTCAGAAGCTGTTCTCTCTGTGTTCTGAGATCTGTAACGTCTGAAGAAAACCCAGACTCTTACACTTAACTTTTGTCCCTGCAGGAATCAGAGATGGAGACAGAAGAGGAGGTGGACATTTTAATGAGCAGCGATATTTATTCTGCAACTTTATCAACCAAATCAATTTCTTTCACACGTGCCCAAACTGGATGGCTTTTTCGGGAAGATAAAACGGTATGTAGAAATTTAGATTTTTTAAACTTTAAACGTTGGTATTTAATATCAGAAAGTAATAGTGGGAACACATGGGTTGCCTTTAGGTAGGCTGCTCTTCCTTCTACATAGGTGATCAGTTCAGTTGCGGAGCTGGACTTTTCCTCACGGAAAGTCTAGCTCCTTTGAACTTTGGGGACGCTCATGTGGCTTCCTTCCGTTTCTGGCACTTTGTGTAGAAGAAGCCAGTGGAGGGCTGTGCACTTGACTGGTGTGTGTCCCTGTGCACTTGACTGACTCGTGTCCCTGTGCACGTCTTCTGTCCTTCCCACTTTCAGTGCTCTAGTGTCTGTCCGTGTCTGTCTGTATCTGTGTCATCTCAGATTGAGCACGTTTCCACAAAATTCCCATTCATTGTACATGAGATGGCTTAAACTAGATTTGAAAGTTCACCTGGCGCGGTGGTGCACAGACTGCTATAGACTGCCGAGCTAGGACTAGCACAAATTTTTTTTTTACTGTTTCTATTTTATGTGTATGAGTGTGTTGCCTGCATGTATGTGAGGGTATCCGTGTTGGCACAAGGGTGCGATGCCACAGAAGTCAGAAGAGGACTTCGGGTTCCCCTGGAACTGGAGTTAAGGATGGTTTGTAGCCACCATGTGGGTGCAGTGAATCGAACCCGGGTCCTCTGCAAGAGCAGTCAGTGCTCCTAACCGCTGAGCCATCTCTCCAGCCCCCACAAGTTTTTTTTTTTTAATTCTATTTGTGTGTGTGTGTGTGTGTGTGTGTGTGTGTGTGTGTGTGTGTGTATGCTTTTGGAGGCTAGAAGAAGGTGTTATGTATCTGGGAGCTGGAGTTCCAGGTGGTTGTGAGCTGCCCAGCAAGTCTGCTGGGCACTGAACTCAGGTCTGCGGAGCACTGAACTCGGGTCTGCGGGGCACTGAACTCGGGTCTGCGGGGCACTGAACTCGGGTCTGCGGGGCACTGAACTCGGGTCTGCGGGGCACTGAACTCGGGTCTGCGGGGCACTGAACTCGGGTCTGCGGGGAGAGCAGCAGCGCTCATCACCACTGAGCCCTTTCCATCCCCACATTGAAAGCTTCAAGCATAGCAAGACCATATCTCATCCAGCCATCCAGAGACTGTGTGTGTTTACACATAATACATGTATTAAGTATGTAATACGATTTTGAATGAAATGTGTAATGAAGCATTTTTCTAAAATGTAAAGCTTACCAGTAAGCACCACACCAGTTAAGGGGCAAGATCACTGTGGGTTTTGTTGTTGTTGTTGTTTTTAATCTTTTTTTTTCTTTCTCATTTTTTATGAAAGATATATTTTTATTATTTTATTTTATGTATATGAGTGTTTTGCCTGTATGTATGTGCACCATTTGTGTGCCTGGTGCCTTTGGAAGCCAGAAGAGGGCATCAAATCCCTTAGAAACTGGAGTTACAGATAGTTGTGAGCTCCCACGTAGATGCTGGGAACCCAACCCATATTCTCTACAAGAGCAAGTGCTCTTGACTGCTGAGCCATCCCTCTAGCCCTATTTTTACTGGTTTTTCTTTAAAATTACATTTTATTGCTGGGCATCGTGGTGCATGCCTTTAATCCCAGCACTCAGGAGGCTGAGACCAGCAGATCTCTGTGAGTTCAAGGCCATCCTGGTCTACATATCGAGTTCCAGGCCAGCTGAGGCTACAGAGAGACCCTGTCTCAAAAAAGACCAAAAAACCCAAAACAAAACAAATTACATTTCATTAAACCATAAAATGAATATTTCCTTTGGAGAAATAATGCCTGTATTGCGGTTCTTTGGAAAACAATTTCCAGGTACGTGATAGAAACACAGGAGGGCTAGAGGAGTAGCGCTAGGACACCAGAGAAGCCAGGAGCAGTGACTAGGGGCAGGGAGAGCCGTTGAAGGGGTTGGTTCCTGTGCTTGTGGGAGTTGGCAGGTGTGAAGCATGTGTAGCAGTACAGCAGGCTGGTGGTCCAGGGCAGAGCTCTGGAAGACTGTCAGGGTTGCCGTGCTGTGGATGTGAGGTAGAATTCTGGAACCCTTACTGTTTTCTCTGAAGGCCGACGGGATTGAATGAAAACCCACCCTCTCTATAGAGGGACATCTGCTTTGCTCAGAGTCTCTTGAGTTCGTGTTTATATTTACAGTGCCTTCACAGGACCATGCTGACCAACACAAAAGTAGCCATCACACAGATGTGTGTGTAAAGCTCAGAAGTCCCCTTTGACGTCCTCTACACTCCTAGAACCCCTGGTCCCCAGCTGTTCTGGAACCCGCTATGTAGACTAGGCTGGCCTTGAACTCACAGAGATCTGCCTGCCTCTGCCTCCTGAGTGCTGGGATTAAAAGTGCGCGCCACCATGCCCAGCCCGTCCTCCTTTTAAATGTTGTCCACACATGAAAATGTATCGATCAAGAGTGTGTAGTCTTTGGTATTGACATTTTGTATGGAGTGTTGTATCTATGATTTGTGTGTGGTCATTACACGTAATACCACTGGGTTTTAGCAACTGCATGATGTTGCACCCCAGGGGTGGGCTGTCATGTGTTCCTGCCGTTGTATTTGGGATATACAGGTGACCACATGCTTCTGTTGGTTTTTGCCACTGTCAAGGAGTTTGCCACCTTTCCATGTGCCTTCGAATTGCAGCAAGAAGTACAGTGGCTGGGGCAGGGTATATGTAACTGTGTTTACGATGAGGCAGTTTGTGTTTGATAAGTGCATCTTCGCGATGTGGTCCTAATTATCCCCCAGCCTCAGCCAAATTCCAGTCCTGAGCTCTGGCCTCATCAAGCTTCCCTCTCAAAGCCTGTTTGGCAACAAATAACTCCTGGGAAGAATAGGTAATACAGAGACACCGCCTCCAGGCTGTGGGAGCTGCATTGCAGTGCATGTGGCTTTGAAGTCTGACTCCTCTGAGCACCCTTCTGGGCAGCACTAGACAGATCACTTCTAGAGAAGACGAAAGCTGCACTGCTGTGCACGAAGTGCTGTGATGGCCACAGCTCTCCTGAACAGGTGAGGTAGGGTCAGGGTGCTACGGTCCCCACTTTGTAGGCAGCGGCTGGTGCCACATGCTTGGCTTCCTGGTATCCTCTGAGGAGCCGCTGAAGCACTGGAGCTACTACACTGCTTTGGAATCAGAGCGCGGACAAGGCAGAGACTGGCCGTGGGAGGTAGAAGCGGGGAGCGAGTTTGGAGTAGTTGGTGTTTTGCCTCCATGTTTTGTTTGAAGTCACTGAGTTCACACTGTGGGCCTTAGAAGCTGAGAACTAGTGCTTCGTATTGGTAAGCCTCCCTGCAGAGAAATGCCAGCGCTTTCCTGTTTCGTTTGTTTGCTTCAGATTCTGTACCACTCACAGTTTACACATTTTTCTTGATTTGGTGAGCGAGGCTCTGTTTTCTTTTTGTCAAAGGAGCAGGCAGCTATAGCATGAAGTTTGATCCTGTAGAGAGCAGAGATTTCAGTGTGGCACGAGCTGTGAACTGTCATTTTCCCTCTCTTCTCTGTCTATAAAATGGGAGTGCTGTTCCCTGAACTTGCCCTGGTGCTTGCCTGTGACTCATTCGTAAAGCTCACAGATTGCTCTGTGCTCCTGGGAGCAGGTATTACAGAGACACCACGTGCTGTTTCTGTTAGATTTACCTCACGTTCAGGTTGACAGCACACATCTTTGTGTACTTGACACTCCCTTTGTGGTTTGGAAACAAGTAATTTTTAACTTAATAGAATATTTATTCTCATCTGTATGCTACATGTTTTTTTTAAAAAAATCTTACAACCAGCCTTACTTTAAACTGTGATTGGAATATTTGGTTTTGTTTTAGGAAAGAGTAGGAAACTTTTTGGCAGACTTTTATCTGGTGAACGGACTTGTGCTAGAGTCCAGGAAGAGGAGAGAGCACCTCAGCGAGGAGGACATCCTTCGGAACAAGGCCATCATGGAGAGTCTCAGCAAGGGCGGGAACATCATGGAGCAGAACTTCGAGGTGCGCTGTGTCCTGGCGCGTGGCTTCTCCACTCTGGGCCTTGGGCATGGTGATCATAAGTGGTGCCACTGTGCTGGGCCTTGAGCCCTGATTAGAGTTCCTAGCTAGTAGTGCTATTCTGTCTTACCCTTTGCTTCCCTGTAAATCTCCATTTTCTTTCTTTATTAAGATGGGAAAAATAGTTCTTGGGATCATTTGAGTCTTTTAAAGCATGAAACCTGGTGTAAATTTTTGTTCCATGTCCTGTTGCATGTTGCCTTGAAGATCCAGCTGTGGGTCCACCCACTTCATGAAGTCCTCTCTAGCCTGTGCCACCCTGGGAACTTTGTATGCAGCTTCTGCATCTTGAAAACATGCTGTGCCCAGTGAATGGGGGGTCAGGCAGTAGGAGGGAGAGGAGGAAGTTGGAAGTGAGATGGAGCATGAACGATGGGACTGCTCTGCCCCCCGAGTTCCTCATAGGGTTTGGATGGGCTCCTATTTCAAATTGTGTGTGTGTGTGTGTGTGTGTGTGTGTGTGTGTGTGTGGTGTTGGAGCCCCTGCAGCTGGAGTTACAAATGGCTGTGGGTGCTGGGAACCACCAAGTCGTGAAAGGACATCTGCTGAGCCATCTCCACACTCCTGGGTGCTAAAGCCTTATTTTTTTATTTCGGCAATTCTGTATTTCCATGTAAGTACTAGGGAAGTACAAAGTGTTCCTGGAATATACTTCAGCAAGATTTTTGGACATCGTCGTTTTACCATCAGTAGACAGGAATTTCCCTGGATATTATGGAATTAGTCCAATGGGTTACGACTTTTCAGTGTGCCTGAATAATGTTAATTGAAAACAACCAAAGCACGTCATACATGGTAGTAGTCATCGCTGCTCTGTGAAGCAGGTGTCTTTGGGCTGTGACTGTGTCGTGAAAGCGTGTGTAGGACTGGAGTCCCAGGATGAGACTTGGGTCCTTGGCCTGTTGCACAGATGCCAGATGTTCTAAACTAGTGTGACAGGGTCTCACTAATCTATGGTAACACTGTGTGTGGCTGGAAAACTAGAAAGTTTTATCAGTTGAGTGAGTCAGCAATAGTTTGAGTGAGTACATCATATAAAGTATTTCAGTTAAAACGCCGTCAGGCCAGTTTCTATCGCCTTCTGGCCCCATTACTGTTTGTGCTGCTCAGATTTTTTTTTCGTGCCTAGAATTGGAGCCTTTCTTGGCCAGTAGGAGATAGAGGACAAGCTGTGTTCAGGCAAGACATAGAGCTAAGTAGGCAGGGAATGCTGAGCTCAGTCCTAGAGCTGCTGCCCTTCCATTGTGACCAGACAAACACACGGTGGCTTTGTGGATTGTGTTGTGATTTAAGTGTTAGCACTCCTTTTAGAAACTGATTTGTGGTGGTGGTTATGTACTGCTACACTATTGGAGATGAGTACATGGAACAGCAGACCTCAAATGGAAGACATACACATGCCAGTTGTCACTCATGATCGGACTTGACATGTACAAAAAAAGAAAAAACTCAACCTGGGATTAAAGCTGCAGGCCTCGTTCGTGCACAAAGCTACAGGCCTCGTTTGTGCACATTTAAACTGAAGGTCTCGACTTCTTTGCCTGAGGTGTGATGGGCTGTACTGTGATGCACTTGAATTGCTAAGGGCTCTTTCAGAGGCATTTCCAGCAGCTCTAGTTTTGCAGATGGAAGTTAATCTAATCTGATGATGGGTACAGCTGTAGAGTAGAACTAATGTGAGTCAAGTAAACTGACCGTCACCTTTGGTCAGAAATTAGAGGAACCACAGTAACATTTTGTTTTTAATTCAATTACTTTAATTTTATGTATATGAGTATTGTATGTGTATTGCCTGCATGTATATAAGTGCACCCGTGTTGTGCAGTACCTGGGGAGGAAGTTGGATCAGAAGAGGAAGTTGGATCTCTTGGAACTGGTTACAGACAGTTGTTAGCTGCCATGTGGGTGCTGCAATTCTAATCCAGGTCCTCTGCAAGAGCAGCCAGTGGTGCTCTGAACCTCCGAGCCGTCTCTCCACCCTCCACTTCCCCCTTTTCTTAAGGGAAGGGTTCTTTGTGCTCAGGTGGGGTGGAGCAGCTCTGGTCCTAGTGGTAGGAATGTGCAGGGGGAACTGTTGACACTACAGCTCAGAGTTGGGTGGAAAACAACCTTCTGTTGTTGAGATAGAGGATGACTTTGAGCCTAAACTGGCCTCAGGCTTCTGATTCTTGTGCCTCAGCCTAAACTCTGCACCACTGCCAGTTAGGAACTTCATTCTTCATAAATGTTTACGTTCAATTGCTCAATTTTTATTAAAAAAAATATGTGGTGGGCTTCTGATGAGTGACATTTAATTTTTAGATAATTGCTACGTAAAATTGCTTGAGTTTGTGTCTGTTTTCCTCTGTGTGTGTTGCTGGGGTAGAACCTGCGGCTTTGTACACCACCACTTTCCGCTTACCCTAGTCTGGTTCAGAAACTTCTGTGTGCTATTACCTCATCCTCTGATTTCTGTCACAGCTCCCAGGCTTTGTAGGCTGTCAGAAAGGACTATTTCTTTCATATTGCCTGGAATTCAAAAGCTGTTTCCCTTCTGCCCAGAATCACTCTGCTGTGGACCGATGATCAGTGACTTCTGACCTGCAGGGCTGCTATCTTTTCCAGGCATCTTGGTAAATAAAGACTGTAGGAGGATACTGGAACAAGCCAAGCATTGCCAGTCATACTTCTTCTGTCTCTCCGACCAGGGACAGACGAGTAGAGAAAAGCTGATGCTGGAGGCACATGCTGTGATCCCAGCTTTGGGGAGGTAGAAGCAGGAGCTTCAGGAATCTAGGGTATCCTACACTACATACTGAGTTTGAGGCTCATTTGGGCTACCTGAGACCCTATCCGAAAAACAAAGCAAGCAGTGCCCCGGTCCTTCTGGACTGACCGTCATGGTGTTCTCTCTGCCCAGGTGTCAGTCAGCTCCCCACTTCTTAGGTCTCGGCTCGGACTGGTTCCTCCCAGCAGTTCTCGGTCTCCCCTAATCCATGTTTGACAGACAGGGTGGGAGTTCTGAAATCTGCCCTTTAAGACAGTTGCCTCGTGGCTAACAGCCGTCTATAACTCCAGTTCCAGGGGACTCCAACACCCTTTTCTGACTTCTGCAAGCATTGCATGACACAGATGCACTTACATACATACAGGCAATACACTTACATGCATAACACATACATAAAAGATGAAATCTCTGAGAAGGCAGCGTCTCGTGTACTTGGCTCCCCTTTGCGTTTCCTCCTGTAGTGAGTTCAAAATAATCCATCAGTTTATGTTCTTTGCCTGGAATTCTCCGTTTCTAAAATGTTTTTATTGATTCAGGATTGACAATTCTGTGAGTCTTCAGAACGCCTTTCTGCAATTTCATTTAGCCGTTGTTTATGTTTTGAGCCAGACGTGGTGTACACTTAGAATGCAGGAGCTTGGTAGACTGTGAGGCTGGAAGCGTGAGCCAGGTCACAGTTGCACATGCCAGTTGGGAGTCTGCAGTGAGTCTCAGCAGGGGGGCTGCGTTTCTGAACAGTGCTGTGCCCTCATCTGAGCAACATAACTAGACCCTGTCTTTTAAATTTTTATTTATTTATTTATTTATTTATTTATTTATTTATTTATTATTTTATATGTATGAGTATATTGCCTGCGTGTATCTAAGTGTACCCATGTCATGCAATGCCCACAGACAACAAAAGAGGGTGTCAGATCCCCTGGAACTGGAGTTACAGGTGGTTGTTAGCCACATGTAGGTGTTGGGATTTGAACCTGGGTCCTCTGCAAGAGCAGCCAGTGCTCTTAGCTGCTGAGCCACCTCTCTAGCCACGCCTTATTTTAAAGACAAGGTCTTGTGCAGTTCAGGCTGGCTTTGAACTCTCTCTGCAGTGGAGGACGGTCTTCGTTTTCTTCTGCTTACCAAGCTTGGGGCTGTGGCGTCTGCACCACGCCTAGTGGACTGTGTCTCTTAAAAAATCTGGTGAATTGGTCATCTTGCTACTGTTTTCTTCTGCTGCATTACAGGTTCTCAGAAGCCAGAGTTCCTGATCTGTCTGCTGTTAAGCACAATGCCAAACACTTAGAGTCACTGGAGCATTGATGGAAGGGGGAACATTAGCTTGTTCTTCTGGGAGTTTATAAAAGAGGGACAATAAACATCTCTTGCAGATCTGAACTCAACATGGGAGTATCTTGGACAAATGTCATCAAATATATTGAAGAGATTAAGTTAGATCGGCACTTCTGTTTGTTATTTTGTGGGGTGTGCTGAGGATTGGACCCAGTTAACATTCTGTCCACCACTGAGCAGTGCCCCCCAATCCCAGTTTACTGTGTTGCTGGGTGGGTGTTTCTAGGAAGAGGCATACAAATAGCAAAGCACCCAGGAGTTTTATTTAAAGGCAGCAGAGTCTGCAAAGGGCCGGCTGGTACTGACTGACTGGTCCTTCATCCTAGAGACTGAGAGAAAGGCGTGGTGTGGGAGTGGCTCTGGGACACTGTCTCAACTTGTTTGCCAGGCCTTGGGCTCCTCTCCTGGCCTGAACATACAGCTCTAACCCCTCATAACCCTTCCTTGTCCTTGCCATAGAACAGTGTGTGCGTGAGTGTTGTATGCTGTAAAAATATCAAAGGTGTTACAAGCAGTGAATGAAAAGTCACTGTTCATGTTGTAAACAGTGGGATTAAATTGATAACATCTATCTGTGATTGTGTGTGCTGTGTTAGGTCAGTAGAGGTCAAGCAGGGAAAATCCCCCGTAAGACGGTTCTTTTCCTAGCCCATTTCATGCAGGATGTACAGTTTCGATAGAGAGAACAAGGCCTTTGTTTGGGAGTGCAACTGTTTGGACAAAACTGTTCCAGGAAAACTCTGAAGGAACAAGTTCTCAGTTCAGTTCCACTCTTGGTTGAAACTGACAGCTGGAGAGCCCAGCTGTCTTCATCCAGGCATTGCTGCAGTGTGGCATTCTACCACCACACATGGGTAGTTTGCTGTTTCAATTGACAGGCTTGAGTTATATAAACCTCTCTCCATTGTGCATCTGATTTTAATCATATGCAAGTCCAGTCATCCATTGGCATAAGATGGTCAAACAAGTTTTCCCCTAAAAGTTCACTCAGAGGACAGTCTGTTTACTGTGCATGTCCACGCTGGATTGACCTGCCCATGCTTGGCGTGTTCCTGACGTGTTTGAATGGAAGTGGGGTTCCTAAAGGATCACTAGAATGGAGCTGGCTCTGCATTCTTTGGAGTGGGGTGTGTTATCTACCTGGTGCTCCAGGTTGCCGAATGCATTCTTAGAAATGGGTATGTATGTATTGGGCCCTGCAGAGTCGGTTGCCAGGCTGTCGCTGAGCATGCCTGCCTGTTTTCATTCCTGTTTTCCACGTGATGATCTTCATTGTCTCTTCTCTTTTGGCAGCCGGTTAGAAGACAGTCCCTTACCCCTCCTCCTCAGAACACCATTACATGGGAAGAGTATATATCCGCTGAGCATGGAAAGTAGGTGGTTTGGGTTATGTTTTCTTTGGCTTTGGGGAAGAACAAAATTTTAAAAACAGAATGTGTTAGTATTTAGATAGTAAGAATTCTGAAAGCATTAGTGGTTAGTTCTATTTGAAGCATTTTTTTTTAAGCTTTTAAAAAATAGGAAGTAAATATGAGAGAAACATTCCAAATTGTGTCTGCCCAGACCAGGCACACTTAGGAGGTCGAGGGAATTGGCCTGCGAGGTGTCTCTCTGAGATTTCCATCGTCTGATTCTTGAGTATTTTAACAGGGGCTGTAGGCGTCTGTCTCTTCTCTATCTTTCCACGCTCTGTCTTGCTCTGCATCCCCGCTCATGCCCATACGACTGCTTCCTGCTGGATTCAGGGCACCTTCACTGACTAAAAGATGAATGAACCAAGACAGGTGTTGTTCAGAATGAAGAAAAGTGTTTTTTCTGGCTCATCAGCATTTTCGTCTGGTGGAGAGTAAAACACCACCTATACGTTTGGCTCAAGAAGAAGCTGTCTTGATTCCTGGTTTTGGTTACCGAACGGCTTATTACGATTTTACAAGGTTTCCATAATGGTTCTGAGTGTCGCTTTTTCGTGGCTGGCTGCTGTTGTGACGCACCTTCCCTGGATGCTCCCACAGATGAGACCAAAGCTTCATGCACTTTCTTGGGCCACACAGTCCCGCTGGAGTGGGAAACGAGAGCCCAGCCAGCGTGACTCGGTGAGATAAGGCATTCAGTCCCTTGTGCAAACCCTGCAAGGCGAAGAATTTGGAAGCAGCTAGTCTGCTCTTGATTGAACTGCTTTCCCCAACCCACCTCATCTGCTCGACACTTTAGAGTACTCTGTGTTACTCAGTGAGACACACTGAAAGGAATTGCTTTTAAATTTGTTGTAATTTTAACAGTACATAAACAGAATTCTTTATTCAAAAAATATTTTATTGTTGAATGCTGAGACTATAGTAGACATTGAAGGAGAATGAACATTTTCCTAGTGATTTTCTTAAAATAGTGATTATTATTAAAATACAATTATTCATTGTGAAATTCCCTGAGGACTGATAAGTTCCTCTGAATTCTTTGCTGCTTTCTTTTTATCTCATTTTCATACACGTCATATTTGTTTTTAGCGTAATCATGTCTGTAGACAGGATAAGAAGAATAGAGATATTAGGCAGTGTTGCTGGAGGCTGGCAGGTCCACAAGGTGACAGCTATGGGCAGGTCTCTTAACAGTGTCTTTCTGTTGCAGAGCCCCTCATCTGGGCAGAGAGCTCGTGTGCAAAGAGAGCAAGAAGACCTTTAAAGCCACGGTAGCCATGAGCCAGGAATTCCCCCTGGGGATTGAGTCGTAAGTGCTCTTGATGACACTAGGGCAAGCCAAAGACTGTCAGGCACCACCACATGCACCTGAGGCATTCGGCTGTGGGAAAGCACTCTGCTGCTGTCCTGAGAGGGTGCACCCCTCCCACAAATGTTGCAGATAAATTTTTGAATAGGGTAAAGAAAGTGATTAGAGAATGCATGCTAGTAGAATTGTCCAAATATGGAAATTTGTAGAGTAAAAAGTGATTGTTTTCTTTCAGTATGTTGACAGCACTGTGTCTTGTCTAGACTTCCGAGTGTAAAGTTAGGAAATGGTCTGCATTTCACTCCACGACTTATGAGTGAGAGTTGTTTAGCTTTCTGACAGTGATCACGTGTTGTCGTTCTTGGTGGAGCTGTGCTGTGCTATGGGCTCCTCAATGAAATGTGGCTGGGCCCAGATTATGTTTCCTTCCAACCTGGCACCACACATTGACTTTTTTTCCCCAAAGAAGAGAACAGGATCCATACTTTTCAGTACAGTCTGTGTACATTCCCTGCCTTCGTTACATCCTTAAGTTTTTGAAGAGTAGTTAGAATGTTCTGTGTAGTCTTAAAAGTGTGAAGTCACACACTGGGGGGTGGGGAGTGGGAGGGGGACAGAGTGTGAGAAGGGAGTGAATTCATTAGCTGGGACCGGGTAACTCCACGCTACACTGTTTTTTTTATATTCCACTTCCAAGTAAGGAAGTAATGCAGTTAGTTTTACAATGATACGTTCTTGGAGTTCAGCTTTAGAGATGCTGTTGCATGATACATGAATAATTCGTGCTTATCACATGACATAAATCTAGTATACAGAATCCAGCATACAAAAGCTAGACAATTCATTCAGGAACAGAAGAGACTTTCCTGTGCTATGGAAAGGCCCATGAAGAACATGAAATCAGTGTGTCAGTGTGCTGAGGATTACTGAAGATAGCTTAGGGCATCGGAGATGACTAGGCACTGGAGATGGCCTTGGTTACTGGATCTAGCTTAGGGCACTGGAGATGACCTAGAACACTGGAGACGGATTAGATCACTGGAGACGGTTTAGATCACTGGAGATGGCTTAGATCACTTGGAGACTGTTTAGATCACTGGAGACGGTTTACGTCACTGGAGCCTGTTTAGGTCACTGGAGACGGCTTAGGTCACTGGAGATGGTTTAGATCTCTGGAGACGGTTTAGGTCACTGGAGATGAGAATAGAATGAAACGAAGAGTGAAAGGTTAAGGGAGCAAAGTGCTGTAAGCAGCACTACTAGAGAACACACAATCCAAACAAGAATGGCGAGGAGATTTGCCTGAAAATTAGGTTTCAGCAGCTCACGATGAATACAAGAACAATCATTAGAGAGAACAGAGGACAGGTGTAGGTGGTGTAGGGCTGTTGGTGGTCCACCTGCACAGTGTAGCTGAGCTAGTATTCAGTAAGAAAAGTTCTGTGTTGGAAGCAGACTCTGTCCATTAGGTGCCACCAGAAGTGGGTGCAGAGTCCTCACTGTCGTTCTGATCTAAGTACTGGGCTCTTGGTTTTGAGATGGGGTCTCGCTCTTCACCTAGCCTTGGCTTCCAGGACTCTGGGCCATCATCTTGTTCCACCTGCCTTTGCCTCCCCAGTGCTGGGATCACAGGTGTGCACCACCACACCCAGTGGCACAGGCCTTTAATTCCAGCTACTTAAGAGGCTGAGGCTGGAGGATTGCAACAAGACCTGCTGGGCTGCAGCCTGGGCAGTTTCATGAGACTGTCTCACAAAGTTTTTAAAAAGTAAAAGAAAAGTGCTGGAGATTCAGCTGTGTTTAGTGCTTGCCTAGTGTGCCTAAGGCTGTGGGGTCAGTCTGCATACCAGGAGAAGCAAGGGAGGGTATGTTCTGACAGGCTCTCTAGTCCTCACGTAGCAGAGCAGCTGAAGGTGCTTCTGCACTCAAAGGCGTTCCAGAAATAGAGACGAAAATAATTCAGTCCCACCAGAGGATGAAGGAGGCCCTAGTGGTGTGACTGTTTGACATGAGATATGAAAAGAGCTAGTTCAGAAGGAAGGATTGTGTGACCTGAGGTTTAAATGAACCAGATTTCTCTGGAAGCATAGTGGTATGAAACTTCCATCAGATGTGAGCAAAAAATGCACGGGGCCTTAAGTGCCTAAGCCTGGCTCCTCACTGCCTGCCGGTAAAACTCGGTCACAAAATCAGGAAGTCACTTCAGCTACACAGCCTGACAGGCAGAGGAGCCGGTGGGCCCTAGTAAGGACCGAATCACCAAGCGGTACCTGCAGAGGGACACATTCCACCTCGACAGGAAGCTAAGACACTTTGCTTTGCGGAAGTTAGCACCACTGTCACTGAAGGAAATTTTAGTTTGAACCATGGAAAATATTATTTTTCCTTTCATTTTTCAGATTGTTGAATGTTCTAGAAGTAATAGCGCCCTTCAAGCACTTTAACAAGCTTAGAGAATTTGTTCAAATGAAGCTTCCTCCAGGCTTTCCTGTAAAATTAGGTAAGAAAAAATGTGGATGTATCTTTAGTGTTTTTTTCCCCCAGTTTAGTAAGGAGTTTATTAATTTTTTTTGAGACAGGATCTCCTGTCTCCCCTGTATTCCCAACTGGCTATTCATGTAGACCAGGCTGGCCGCAGTCTCACAGAGATCTGCCTGTCTCTGCCTCCCGAGTGGTGGGATTAAAGGCATGGGTTACCACACTTGTCTCAGGTAAGGAGTATATTTTAGAGGAAAATAAATATTCGAATTGCGTTACATTCTTACAGTTTTTATTTAACTGCATTCGTAGTTATTTTTTGTCATATATGTAAAGTGCCTGAAAAAAAGTAAAGTATTTGATCGAGTTCTTGTTCACTTGAGTATAAAGGACGTTTCTGACAAGTGGATGGGCCAGGTAGTGGAGTGTGATGCCGCCTCAGCAGAGGTCGGGGTCCCACCCTGACTTCTGTACCCCCGAGCTTCTGCAGTGTGGGGCTGTGGACAAGTGTTCAGTGGCAGCTCTGTCCTTTGCAGTGAGGAAGTGTGGTAGTGCTTGTTAATTCGAAGGGGGCCATGGGAAGATGGGCGGTCAGCTGTGCTCCAGCTGAGGGGACGCGCGGCCATCTGTGCGTTCCCCACTGCCTCAGTTCACGGCCAGCGAATGCCTGCACTCTTCGGGTGTGGGGGTGCCCATACAGAGTGGAGTGGAGAAGAGGGTTCCAGATGATTCCCTGCATCCAAACCCAGGTCAGATGCCACATATGATACAGACTTGTGTAGAAAAGTATTTTGATTAAACTTTGCAGACATTTCTCTGGTCTGGAACCACACAAGGATGGCATCTTTGTGTGTCTTTGACAGTCAAGGGTAATCTGTGTATCTTCTGGTGTGTGGCACACGCTGTAGAATGCCTTCTAGGTTGGTTTAATCTCCCAGCAGTTTTTTCCTGTGCTTAGAATGAAAACTGTTGATTGGTAGGAAATCTTTAAACGTTGGAAACGCTCCACACTTGGTCCCAGCAGCGGTCTTTACTTGCTGGAGAGCAGAGCCGTCCTCTGCTTCGCAACTCTAACGGCTCTTTATGTACTTAATCTGCCTCGGCCTCCCCAGTGCTGGGATCACACGTGTACAGCACAACCAGTGCCTAAGTTCGAACCTTTTTAAAAAGGGCTCGAGAGATGGGGCTGGAGAGATGGCATAGTGATTAAGAGCACTGGCTGTTCTTGCAGAAGACCCAAATCCCAGCACCCACATGGCAGCTGACACCTGTCCATAGCTCTAGTTCCAGGGGATCCGACAGCCTCTTCTGTCCTCCGTGGGCATTGTACGACACAGGTGCACCTACCTACATGCAGGTAATACATTCATACATAGAAAACTATAAAAGTAAATTAATAAAGTTTAAAACAAAAAGTGCGTACTTCAGGAATGTAGGAAAGAAGAAACTCAAAGGAAAAGAAGAAAGCCTAGAAATCTATTAAAGAACAAAACAGTACGTGTAGAGACAGTCGGGAAGTAGAGACATCTGTGGGAAGGCTCAGCCGGTAAAGGCAGCTGTGGTGGAGGAGGGAACCCTCGTCTCTGAAAATTGCCCTCTGTCCTCTTTCTCTCCCTGTTCATGCGAGTGGGCAGTTGCTAATCAAGGCCACAGCAAGTTCAAGTGAAGCAGCGACTTCGTGTATTATATGGAACATGAGACAACAGAATTAAAAGTTAGTTAACAATCACTGAGAATGAAACACAGATATCAATGTAATGAAGAAGTTAAGACTTGTATCCTGCAGGCTGCATAGCACTGGAGTCAGAAATGAAGGCAGCTGAGTAGAGGGAGACCGCCTGTGTGTTTCTGGAGGCAGAGGGCTTGTGTGAGGTGAGGTAGCAGCCATTCAGTGAAGCATGAGTGAAACGGAATTCTATAATTTACAATTTCAGGGGAAAAAATCACTTTCTGTAGTGATTGACAGGATTTCAAAAACTCACGTAGCAGCCAGAGGAAGTTGGAACTGCTGCATCAGCTCCCAAGGGCTCGCCTCACCGCCAGCACAGCTTTCCTGGGAACCTCAAAGCAAAACTCGCTGTCGGGCGTTTGTGGAGTCTGGTCTCAGACCCGGGTGTCAGCAGACTGATGTCACCTGTGGTACTCTGATGACTTTGGTCCTGTGGAAGCGGTCTCTCAGTCTGTGCCTCTTCCACACGGTGCTCTTTCCAGGCCTCAGGGACTACCCGATTCCTCGGTTGACTCCCCTGCAATGTCCCAGTCCTCCTCAGAAGGCCCCATGTGTGGTTCTGCCAGGACAGACTTAACAGCAGCTTCACCTGCTTCTCGCTCTGGTCCTTCTTCACAGCTGCAGAGATCCAGACTGGTGCTGGCACAGGAACAGGCAGGCTGGTCCCACTTACGGCAGGGCAGAGCGCCCAGGAAGCTCACAGAGGCGGCTTTTTGTTTGTTCATTTTTCCCTACAAATGTTAAGAGAGTTACTGGACATCCAAAAGAGCCTTCATCTTCCTTACAGTTTACTCAGAAGTTAGTGTGTCATAAACTGAAGTGTAAAACTTTTTAAAGAAATAAGGATTTAGGAAGAATCCTTAACTGGACACTAAAAGCTTGACCCATACAAAGACAAGTCAATGAATTAGACTTTATCAGAAATTAAAACCTTTTCTGTAAGACATCTAGTTAGAAGACATAGGTTACAGTAGAATGAGAGAAAATTTCTTCAAAATGTGTGCGTTTTTGTGCATGGACAGAAACGTCTGCCGTCTAGAATAGGTAAGGACCCCTAAAACCTCGTCAAGCAGAAAATCATTTGTGAAAAAGGGCTAAAGATAGGCCCATAGGACATTAGTTGTAGAGGCTTTGGAGCCCAAATCACAGAAACACCCGTGTCAGCCTCTGTGGTGCCGAACAGAGTGACTGTGATCCAACATTGTGACAGTGCCACGTGCTGGGATCGTGCAGGACAGCCACACTAGAAAAAACTGAACTGGAAACCTCAGTGTATCATCAAGCTTGGATTCATAAGCGTTACCCCAGAGAAGGAAAGGTGATGTTCAGAGAGCTGCACCCAAGGGCTCATTTCACAGCGCTGTTTACGAAGTCCAGCTGAGCAGCAGCTGCTAACATGGAATCCATTGCCGGAATAAGAATAAACGGCCGGTTTACACCAGGGCTGACTTAGCAGAGATGTATGTGAAAAACAGAAGCAAGCTGGGTGGTGGTGCACGGTTGTATCTCCAGCCCTTGAGAGGCAGAGGCAGGAGAATGAGCAGGTCATCTTCAGCTGTGAAGCAAGTTTGAGACCAGCCTGGGCTGTGAGACCAGCCTGGGCTGTGAGACCAGCCTGGGCTGTGAGACCTGTCACACAACAGCGGCTCCTCCCCAAAGTTCCACACCCTATTACTCCACCTGTGAAGAGTGCTTTCAGTGAGGAGGCTGCAGGGCTGCTCATCAGTTCCGTAGTCGCAGGACTTAAAGGGCAGCAAAGGTGGTACATGCTGGTGGGGATGCTGACAGGATGTGAGCTTGTGGAGTCGGGCAGAGCAGCCTTCATTCTTCTTAAACTTGCACGTGAGCCTGTAGTTAACCTCCAAACAAAGTCCACCCATTCCTTCATTTATTGTAGACTATTTAAATCCCTTCCTACCTTGCATTGTTATCTGGAGGAAAGCTCTTTATGATGTGACTGCCCAGGAGCCTTTATCACTGGGCGAATGGCAAGTGACTGGTCTCTGACCGGCAGCCCAGTGCTGCTCCTGTGACATGGCTCTTGTGCCAGTTCCTTCTCCAAACACAGTTGCTGTGCGTGTCACAGCCTCCTTTGGCCTAACGAGCCCCTGCTGGCCCCGACTCTGGCCTCACCCCTCATAGCTGGTGTCCCCTTACCTGAGCTGTGTGCTCCATAGCCCTTCCCAGAGAAAAATCACCTGCCTTTGGAACCATTTCTACTTTTTGTTCCTTCTGTTTGGAATTGTCCTGCTGGACACTTGTGCAAATGGTTCTTTATTCTTAAAAATTACATCTTTTGCTGGGTGTGGTAGCACATACCTTCAATCCCAGCGCCCAGGAGGCAGAAGCAGGCAAATCTCCATGAGATCGAGGCCAGTCTGGTCTACATAACAAGTTCCAAGTCACCTGAAGTTAAAGGGAGACCCTGTGTCAAAAAAAAATTTTTTTTTTAAATAGAAATTACATTTGTGTGTGCGTGTCGGGGGGGAGGCATGCAGACTACTTGTGAGGGTTGGTTCTCTTTCTACCCTGTGGGTCCTGGGAGTTGGGTTCAGGTTGTCAGGCTTGTAGCAGGTGCCTTTACCTGCTGAGCCATCTCATCTGCCCTTTACCTGCTGGAAGGTCACTTCTTTTAGCGGGCAGCCCCAGCACTGGGATCCACTCCCCTCTCAGTCATCCTTGTTACTTGGTACTTACTGTTGCTCCTGAGCTGAGCATGGGCTCCACCAGCGTGGGGTGTCTGCTTCCTGCTGCTGCCTCAGCCCCGAACAGTTCTCAGCAGTTGTATCCCGGCTTTGCCAGCCCGTTGGCCTCCGTTACAATTACATGTCTTTCTACAACCCCCCAACCCCTGGAGAATTAAAGCCTAGATAGTGTTAGGTCCCAGTGACCTTGATAAACACTGAAATTTGACTTTCATATAACTTAACAAATATGCTTTTTATACCCTAACAATTTAACAATGCAAAGTCATTTCCAAAACATGTCAGTCATGTGCTGGCCCGAGTTTGCTGACCCGAGAGACTGTCGGAGCTAGCACTCCAGGATGCCCAGGGGGCCCTTTGCTTCAGTCCAGTGAAGGTTTTTTCCTTTGGTGAGAATATTCTGGAGACTCCTAAGTCAGAAACCTTGTTTTATGACTTGTGCTTTTTCCAGTATTTCATTAATAAATTGAGTGGGATGATCAGTGAGCTCGGCATTCTGATACCCGTTTACTGATCTCCACTTCATTTATCCTCTGGGGTCCACACACCTTGCTTAAGTGATTGCTCTGCTGAGGTCCTGTGCTGCTGCTGCAATTCTTGTATTTAAGGGAGTTAACTTCAGCGTGTTTAAATAAAGTATGACTAATGCATTTTACTTAAGAATGAAAATAAGTCAGGCAGGGTGTGGTTGTGTACACCTTTACTCCAAGCAGAGACAGGTGGAGCTCTGAATTTGGGGCCATCCTGGTCAACAGAGCGAGTCTCTTGGGGGGGAGCATGGTCTTCTCTACCAGTACTGTCACAGACGAGCCTCTGATGTGTGCTCTCCCCTTCCCTTCTCTAGATATCCCTGTGTTTCCCACAATCACAGCCACTGTGACTTTTCAGGAGTTTCGGTATGATGAATTTGATGGCTCCGTCTTTGCCATCCCTAAAGACTACAAGGAAGACCCAAGCCGTTTTCCTGACCTTTAACTGACATGGACAGCCAAGAAAAAAAGTGCAGAGACCCCACAAGTGACTCCAGATGGAAGGAACAGAGCTTTCCGTAAGGAAAGAGCATGTCAAGTCAACACATCAGTGACGTGAGAGAAACGGGCCTCTAATAAAAACGTCCAGCCTCCTGACGTGCCATCTCATCTTTTACAGTTCACTTCCTGTCTGTAATAGTGACACCCAGTGCCCCTCCTGTGTGAAGCAGCTGAGTGCTGTGATTTGTTTTTAAAGATTTTTACACTTGTTGAAATATATATGCATATAAATATTATCTATATATCTAAAACACTCCTGGACCATTAACATAAATTAAATGTCTTAAGAGATAATGAAACCCTTTTAAACCCACCACCTTCAATCAAGGTGGCATTTATAAATGTCTCTTTAAACTTTGTTTTCATACAGTGTGAACTATGTAACATTATGTATAGCTCTGTAATTTGAATGTTCAGTATAACGAACTAGAAGGAACGCAGCTTTCTATAGATGAATGAACCAGTGGTCATCAGTCGCATTCACACGTCGCGGTAGCTGTCGGGAGCACTCACTGCAGGGAAGAGGACCCTCCTCCAGCACCTTCGTGCAGCTCAATGTGGTGCTACTTGTTTTTACCTGAATTCTTTTTTCAATGGAAAATGTTTGTTACTGATCTTCCTTTCATAGAACTTTTTTTTTCCTTCTAAACTTGAGTTTAAAGGTCTGTGTTCTGTTGATAAGGTACGGCTAACTTAAAGCTAGCCCTCTCCCAAGTATCAGCACTTTAAACAAATTCCAAATTTTTAAACTTGCTCCCTTAGACGTGCATAAGTCTGATTATTTTTAGTGGAACATGGATGCACTGGTGTCAGTTTAAAAAATTCGTATTTTGGACAACTATATATTTAATGCTTTCAAAGTAAGGTAAAAACATTTTATATGCTAACAGAATATATTTGTTATATGCTGAAGTCCAGAAACATATACGAGATTAACAGTTATTTTTTTTAAGTCACGGGAAAATATTTACTGATTTTTGTCTCCAAAGCGTTTAAATCATGCATTTCTCATTTTTGCACTTAATTTCTTTCATATTTATTACAAGGTGATTTGAAGGTCCAAGAATGAAAATTAGGGAAAATAATGTGTAATTCTTAAGGTATCATGTTGTATTAAAGAGCTTAATGTTTATAAATCTGTCCTGATGAAATGTGTCAAGAATGCACCTGTCAGGCTTTTTTAGAATGACCATTAGTTTAAACTTTTACCAAGATTTTAGATAATTTGATTTTAGAGACCTTTATCATACAGATGATTTATTTAAAACCCAAAGCGTCAGCCGTAAGATGTTTCTCTTAGAGTTGCGTCGGGCACAGTGATAACACCTTGCATATATCAGAGTTTTATTGCCTTTTATATGAAAAATATCAGAGTTAAAAACTCAAAGCCCTAATCACTCCAGTTAAGTTGAATTTTAAGAATCAGAAAACCCAGAGCTAGCTTTGTTGAACAGAGGTGGATCCCTGGTATTCAGCCAGTGGCTGATGACCCAGTGACTTAATGAGTTTTGTTGTCAATCATGAGGTCCAACATTCTGGAAGGCAGTGACCACTTGCTTTAGGCTCCCTGGCTCTGTAGGAAGATGGTGTACTTTCAGGAGTAAATACACTGCAGACAGTGTAGGAAAAATCACAATAGGATATCTTAACAGCTGTGACTGTTTTGCTGGGTTACACTGGAGACAGGAAAGACTACTGAAAATTTTTGTACTTGAATTTGAAGACTTACTTTTTTCTTTAACAAATAGTAGAATCAGATTGTTCATTCCAGAATGTCTTCTCTGATCATAAAGAACAAACAACTGTCAGTATCTCTTATGATGGTGGAAAAAAAAAACCTGAATTAATGCAAATAAACTTTTCACAATATTAGATTTTTCAAGATGTGCCTTTTAATCCCATTAGTGGAGATGTGTGCTGTTTTAAATAATCACAACATTGTGCTTTTATAACCTTACATGCCAAACACTCAGATAACACACACTTCTGTACTGTAAATTTAGAAAGTTTGGAGACAGTTATTCAGAACAGCCATCCAGAGAGGCAGGATACCTGTCAGGCCAGGACACCTTCCAGAAATCACCTGCTCAGACAGCTGTCTGTAGACGGGCAGAGAACCACTGTCCACAAAGGAGCAACGGGTAAGCAGATCACATGGCTGAGTTCAAGAGTACATCGATGGTTTGGAAACCAACATATTCACTTGCTATCAGCTGACCACAAGTTTTCTTCACATGAACAAAACTAGATTTTCAAGTTAGGTGGGGTGGCTCGTACTTGTAGATCCATCCCAGTCAGTTGGGAGGCTGAGGCAGGAGGAACATGAGTTTTGAGGGCAGCCTAGACAGTTCACTGAAGCCCTGTCTGAAAAAGCAGTAAAAAATGGGCTGGAGACAGGGTTCCATGGCAGTTACCCCTAGCATGTGAGACACTGGCAGCAACCAAGTTCTTCACCGTCTGTAGCAGATAAAGATCTAACTAGCTCATGGAGGCCAGTGGGGGCCACCCTGTGGTGACAGACATCGAAGCCCGCCCTCAGACGGGATACACTAAATCTCGGGGCTGGCAAAGCTGTGACCTGTTGGCAAATCATGAAGATACACGACAAAACCCGGCAATATTCGTGCTGTGGCAGTCGACCACACGGAAGGACTAGTCAGCTTGGAGCTTGTTCCAGAACAGTACTTTTGAGTGTCTATGGGTACGTAAAAGGCTTAACAGTCATTATGGACCATGAACACAAAAACCAACCCACCACTTGTGCAGTGCTCGCTCAGTCACTGACAGCTGGAGGACTGGCTGGGCACAGTAGGGAGGAAAGGTGTGTAGCTCATGTACCCTCTTTGGAATGAGACCACGAACAGCAGCTCAAGATTTCTGGATGACCCAGTAGCACCTCCAAGGTCAGGAAAGGGGAGCTCCTAAATTCCAGCTGTTCTCAGGCGGCTGCAGCCCCTTTCTGAAGCACTCCCTGGACTCTGCCTGCAGCACTAGGTTAGAGCTGTTGAACACTTGTGCTTCTGAGTACTGCTGCACCGACTGTGAAATTAATGCTTGCTTGCTAAGTGTTTTGTGTTCTAGCGTTGGCAACTCGATGAATGCAAAAAGGCATTTTACACCCAGTGCTGTCAAAGCTGAACCGATCTGCATTCAGAATGTTAGGTAGAGAGTAAGAACTCCGTCTTGGGGATACCGCACTCAACTGCGATCACCAACCTTTCAGTTTTTCATGCACAAACCTGAGTGAACTGTAACTAGAGGTGCTGTTCTGATGTTACTGGCATGCACTACAAAAACAAGCACCCCAAGACCTTCCCCTGGCACTTACCTTGCTGGGGCCTAAGTAGCATTAAAACAAGCATACCATCTCCATTCTGGTTTACAAGCTGAACACCAGCTTTCACAAAGCACACACGATGACCAGACCTGGTGCTCTGAACTGGCCTGTTGGCAGCAGTGCTGAGACCTAACCCAGCAGACCCCGGAAGCTGCTCCCTTGTCTCAGCAGGGCCACGTCTGTGTGCTTCCACGTCTGTACCACCTTCGATCTGCAGCAGTTGGTTCCGTCATCAGGGAACTCAGATCTCACCACCACCTAGGAAGCTCACAGTCCTGATCCCAGAGACTCTGCTGGTTTAAGTCACTCATCAGCTTTAAGAGGGCAACTGTACCTACCCATCAGGCACACCTAGGGCTCTGCTTTCAGAAAGGTTTGTGACCAAGTCTCCCTGCGCTGACATTCACGTTCCCCATGGGGTCTGATCCTCCAGTCAGTGCATAGCCCCAAACCTTTCGTTACTGAAAACTAAGGAAGGACAAGCATTTTCTTTTTCTAACAAAACCATTTTATTGGAAATCATTTGACCACCAGATTTACAGAACTCAGTGTGGTGGCAGTTGTTCCACTGCGAGTGTCTTAGGGGGCATGGATTCCAGCTCGATACTTTTGTTAACGAGCCTTCACTGCACCGATAAGGTCCTAAATACCACCTGCCTTCGCAGTGGCATCTTGAAACTTGGTGACTACCTTAAAATCAAGACAGAAGAAAGCACTGGTACCAAGAGATCACAGGTGGAGTAGATTTAACATTAGATTTACCCTGAGAACTGCCAGTATTTTATGTTTCTCTTACAGAATTGGCTTTGCCACATGGTTCAACCTTCATCCGCTAAACAAATGTCATCTGCTTTCAACTTTGTTCTTAAGATGGAGCGTCTATTCAGAGCATTAGTGTTACTTGATATATTAGATAAAACTGTTCATAAAATCTTAAAACATTACTACAAACTGTAAAAATGCTTTTCTATATGGCATTTCAATTTATAATCAAAACGTGAAACTACACCCTAAAGTTCGTCTCAGCCACCCACACACTAGCACACACTACACACATGAACGTCTGTATTACTTCAGAAAGGGCAAGTTTTTGTACTTCAATGACAATATTGACTTGTCAGGTAGAGGTGGGATAGTATTCTCAAGCCCCAGGCTGCCCCAACCCCATTCCCACACCCGAGACCTGGGAGGAGTCGCACCAAGTTTTGACAAGATGTGGCTGACAGTCCTGATGACAGCTGTCTTTAAGGTGATGGACTTGTGTACTGTTACTGCGTCTGAACATGTGGAGAATTCTGGGCAAAGGGCTGGCGTGGAAGATGAGGTAACGTCACACACTCATCAGTGCAATAAATCCAAATACAGTTTTCTAGGAACAGAGCTTGTAGTTTAAGGGTTTTATTATCAAAGTCTTGTAAAACGATTTCAGAAACTGTACATCAACATGGCACAGACGGTAGCCTACTTTTGTTTTTGTACTGCACAAAAGTAAAGCTTGAAACTCTCATAACTAAGAAAACAGTTGCCTACCTAGTCTGCATATAACGTGGAATCACTGTGCATAAGATTACTACTGCAGTTATAGTAACAGAAATTTATTAGTTTTGTACAACTTGAGATCAAATGAAAGTACATTGTCAAGTAGGTCTGTCTAATTTTAAAAGCATGAATCAATTTCAAATGCACTGTTTCCTTTTTCAACAGTGGGCTTTACAACTAACAAGAGTTGGAAACTGAAAATCAGGACGAGTACTTGTTTATAGACGGACTAGAAAAGCAGGTGGCATTCGCTGGTGTAGACGTGACATAAATGACCAGAAAGCAAAACCCTCCTAAATACCTATGAAAAAGTGTACAACTCTAGTTCAAAACATTCTATTTACTCGCTGCCAGATCTCAAATCCTTTTTCCCTATCATTTAAAGCCTAATCAGGTTTAAAAAAGGTTAGTGCATACATCTGGCAGTTAAGCCACAGAAGTTCAGCCACAAGGCTAAAAGAATTACCTGATACGAATGCCTGTTTTGAGATGTAACTCTAAGAACGTTAGTCTGTCTTACCAACCAAGACCATAAATAAATCACCGTGTTGGAGGGTTTGGATGACATTTGGGGTACTCTTGCCACAGTAACATGCAATCAGTGCATTCCCTACATGGCTCTATCAACAAGCCACAGAAGTTCAGCCACAAGGCTAAAAGAATTACCTGATACGAATGCCTGTTTTGAGATGTAACTCTAAGAACGTTAGTCTGTCTTACCAACCAAGACCATAAATAAATCACCGTGTTGGAGGGTTTGGATGACATTTGGGGTACTCTTGCCACAGTAACATGCAATCAGTGCATTCCCTACATGGCTCTATCACGGCAAGGACTCAAATTCTAAGATACTCTACATGAACATACTGAATGAGGAGGTCATACAACAGAAACAGTCCATGCCTGCTGGAGCATGCAGCTGCTCGTCTGTCACAGAGCAGCAGAGTCGTACAGCTGCTTGGTCTCTCAGATGGATGTCACCATGGCAGTTCTGGACACCCAGGTACCACTTTCTAAAAGCTTGCTGACATATAAAGGGCTAGATCTCACTACCGGGAAGGCTTGGCAGCCATGGGCGACTCGCAGCTGTATCCACCTAGGGGAGAGGAACACACAGCGTTAGGAATCACATGGGCAGGACACGGCCTCCGCGGCCACTCAGTCGCTCATGTCCATGTCTTCTTCGTGATGGTCATCCCCATTCACTTTCGACTCCCGCAGGCCATCGCCGGCCCCCTTCTCCACAGAACACTCCTTCGCTTTAGGGGACACTGCTTCCGCCGGCTGCTTCTCCTCCTTCTTCTCCTTCTCGCTGTCGTAGCCCTGCTCCTCTTCATCGTAATCCCGAGTCACCTGCTTTGCCAAGGAGAATGGTGAAAATGAGCTTTGACATCAAAACAACCTCGCTCCTCTGCAGCCCAGCCCCTCAGGCGGCAGCGCAGCCCAGGCCGTGGACGTACTTTGATGTCCTTGTCGCTGTCCGACTTGCGCTCCCGCTCCTTGTCCTTGTCCCGGCCCCTCTTCCTCTTACTGGTAGAGCGCTCCCGCTCGTCTCGGCTTCGCTCCTTGTCCTTCTTCTTCTCCTTTTTGTGTCTACAACGACAGTGAGAGCGCACTTCGAAGGCTGCCAGAGGAGCCTCCGGGATTTCATGCTCGGCGCCGCACAAGTTTGGATCTGCTTAGATGGTGAGCTTAAACCCAAGTCCACCAAACACAGGCGAGCAAAGATCCAGGTTCAAAACACGACAATCAAGGTCCAAGCTGTGCACAGGCCACAGGTAGAAGAGCCTCTGGTGGGTCCAGGGCCGAAGTGCTCTACCCATAAGAATGCCCACTCCAAGTCTCACGAGAATAACACTTCTAATTCCCCCACAGGAAAACTATAGGCCAGTTACAACAAAAACCACAGCTTTAAAAGCTCCCGAGTCTTGAACACCATGGGGACAGATATAAATGACTGACACCCCTACCTCCTTGGGGATGGTGAGCGGGACAGTTTTCTTTTAGGAGACCTGGGCTTTTTAGGAGATCTGGTTCCACTCCTGCTTCGTCGTCGTCGTCGCTCTCTAGAATCACAAATGTGCAAACTAGGCTTTAAAATATAGCGTGATCTCACTAGCTCCACAAGTAACTTCTATTGCCCAAGACTTGCTTCATAACACTGCTGTAAGCGGACACAATCGCAACCATAGGTCTGCCTGCTTCTGCTTCCTGAAGTTTGGGGGATTAAAGGTGTGTATAGCCTGAAGATGCAGCTCACTGGCACAGTGCCTGCCTAACAGGAGTAAGACCCTGGGCTGAACCCCAGCATTCCACGTCTCAAACCACCACCACACCCTATCTAAAATCCAAACTCCCAACATTCACACACAAAGGAAAACAGTAATGTAATGATATTTAATGTAAAGCTATCCTTTGGCAGTCTGAAGTGTTTTTCCTCTTGGTGCATCTATTTTGGTTTCTGCCTTTCAGACAGGGTTACGGAATGCAATCTAGGTGGCCTGGAGCCGACCCCTCTCCTGCCTTGGCTTTTTAAGTGCTGGGTGATGGGTGTGCCACCGTACTCTGCGTGATGGCACCCTTTCTTCTCAAAGTTCTACAGTTTCAGTTCTCAGATCTTTGATCCACTTCTCATTTTTGGAAAACACGGCACAAATCTCCCAGTACATTTAAGTAGGTAAATGAATCACACAAACACCGCAGCCAGCCGTGTGAATACTGTCTGATGGAAATGAACTGAACACGCAGAATCTATTTCCTGAAGCAAAGTTCACAGCATGATTTCCATTCCCAGTGGAACAGTCTAATGACAGGGAACTGTTAGTCCAAGAATCCTTCAAGTCAGAACCTGAAATGCCGCCAGTAGGGCACCAAGGAAGCACTGCCCGAGGAGGAGCCACTGAGCATCACACAACGGTGTGACAAACGTATCATCAAGAAGCTAACGTAACAATCCAGACCTTTAGGTCATCACACTTAACTTTCTCAACAATAAGGTGTATGTTTAAGTTCTAGGGTGTATGTCCTGTTCCTGGCCTACTGAGAAGCACACAAGGAACCCCCTCCCCACTCAGGACTTGGGGTGCCCCCTTACCTGCTTGCACTTCTAGACCGTCTGGCTGTGCTATAACTTTTTGGTGGAGTTTTGGAACGTTTCTTTTCCTTATCTTCTTTCTTTTTATCTCTAATAAAGTTTGAGAAAAAAGGTTTAAGAATGCCCGAGAGGACTCAGCTAATGCTTCGTTTAACTCTGCAAATCAGAGTACAAAGATGATTTCACTTTTCAGTCTAGTTATGACAGATGGCATATCTGTGATAAAGTAACTTCTTCAAACTTCCCACCTTCTTGATATTTCACCTATAACTGACATTCCGTAGCTAAGCAGTGTAAGTGTTGAGAAAATATTTAGGGTGCCGGCTAGTCTCTTGAGTTTGGTGCTTAACTGCCACCTCCGGGGTCCTCAGCACACCTGACGACAGCCTCCTTGAGCCAACTGCGCTGTCACCTCCGAATGGCTCAGGCTCACTCACACTGGTCCATGCATCCACCCCGGTGGCCATGCTACGTTCCCATACAGTTCTCTGTTGCTGCATACTCTGGGCTGGTCAGTGATGTTTAAAATCCTCTCTCCATGGACAGGCACTATCCCACACTCACTCTTAGTCATTTTTACTTGAGTCTTACAGTCGGCACTCTCACCGCACCCCACCCGTCTGCTTGCCTGGCTCCAGCAGTCATCTGATGGGCTCTCGTCACACCTTCTCACGCAGACCACACACTGTCTGAAGTCTTTCAAGACACAAGTATGTACTCTAGCACAATGCTCCCTTCAGTCATTGACCACATATATGATGGGGGAGGATTCTTTACCTGGTGATCTTGCTGAGTCACACTGTAGTAACCTACATTTGTGTAGTCATCATTTAATAAAGGCCCTTAATGAGATTATATTCTTGGCTTTCCTACTAGTCCTTAAGGAAAGGAATGCCTGATTCCTTCACTTGTGCGTGATGAACAGTTCCACCAAGCAACCTTGTCTGAATGACTGGACTGACAGATCATCTACTCTGCAATGGCTGAAGCCTCATCACCACAGACTCAGCTCCCAGTTAGGCTTTATCCCCTCTCGTCCCATTAGTTCAAATACCTGCACAGCAGAGACAAACGGTTTGGGGCAGGGGACGACCTGTCACCCTTTTCAAAAACTCAAGGCTAGACCACTCACTCCAAAGGACTGGCTCTATAGGAAAAGACCGGTTCTTGGGTTGGAGAGACTGCTCAGTGGTTAAGAGCACTGACTGCTCTTGCAGAGGACCCGGGTTTAATGCCCGGCACCCACATGGCAGCTAACAACTTGTCTGTTAACTCCAGTTCCAGGGGAGGTTGGAGAGACTGCTCAGTGGTTAAGAGCACTGACTGCTCTTGCAGAGGACCCGGGTTTAATGCCCGGCACCCACATGGCAGCTAACAACTTGTCTGTTAACTCCAGTTCCAGGGGATCCAACGCCCTCTTCTGACCCCTCTGGGCACTGCATGACAAGGGTGTACCCACCACATCCAGGCAATAAACTCATACACAAAATTAAGTATTTTTTTAAAAGAGAAAAGACTGGTTCTTAAATGCATATTTTAAAATGTAGTGAAGAAAAAGGCCACCACTTTTGTTCTTTCTTTCTTAGGGTTATCTCAGTCCAACCGTACTGGTCTCACATCATGAGAGAAGACATTCTAATTATGGTTCCATGTGTGGCACACAACAGTCCTTCAGGCATGTTTTCCAAGCACTGATAATGATAGAAAGAGCTTAGAGCTCTTTGGCACGGTACCAGGACTGTCTGTCTGGAGTCCTGAACTTGTGGCGGTGGTTGGGGGAGGAGGAGATACAAGGCAGCTAAGCAAGTGTGATTACGAAAAAATGCCATTTACACTTCACCAAGGCAGGAGACAAGAGAATGCACGTCGGCCTCCGCAAGCCCCAGCCTCTTGACACTTGGTCCGTCTCCCTACATGGTACCTACCTACTTTCTGAACAAGGAAAATCCATGCTGGTGGCCAGTGAACAGTTGCTCTCTCCAAATTACCTGTTTTTTGATGTGCTTCTTGACCTTCTACCTCTCTCTCGGGAATGAGATCTTCTCCGCCTTGGACTTTTGGATCTCCGTCTACTCCTGGACTTAGAGTGGGAACGCCTTCTTGACCTGCTTCTTGATCGCCTAAAGAGAGCAATGCATGTGTGCAGACTTAGTAAAACAAAACTAGCACAATCAGCCTCTGACAGACGAGCTGCTTCTGTCAATCAAGTGGGAACAGTCCCTCCTTTAAGCTGCTATCACTCGGTCCACATCACCTTCTAGATCTCAGAAGTAACACCTTCACTAGGGTGGGGCATGCCTGGGCTCAGGTGGGCGTGTGCATGCGTTTATGCTGGTATGCAGGACTATAGCCATCGATGGCACACACGGGCACTTCTGGGGAGCTACAGCGTGATGCCGGGAGATCCCAAAACAAAGGTACAAACTCCAAGAACCAGCAAGTGTGGGTGGCCTAACTGAGTATTTGAAAAAAACATGAACCGGGGCTGAAGAGATGGTTCAGCAGTTAAGAACACGGGTTGTTCTTGCAGAAGACCCGGGTTTGAATCCCAGCACCCACATGGCAGCTAACAACTGTCCATGACTCTAGTTCCAGGTGATCCGACAGCCTCTTCTGACCTCCACGGGCATTGCACGACACGGGCGCACTTACCTACATGCAGGCAGTACACGCAAACACATAAAATAAAAAAATAATAAAATTAAAAAAAAAAAAGAACCAAATACATTATAAACCTTAAGGAAAACAAATTTACTGTTAATGATAAAAACTGTTCTCTAAAAGAAAATTAAATATGGAAACCCCGAACATACTTCTATGAAGTTAACAGCTTTCTAGTTTTCTTTTCTGATGAGATCTGAGGTGCTACTATCAAATGCCATTTTGTAGCATTGTGTAGCAAACAGAAATCACCATACCAAACTTGGTACTTATTAAGGAATAGTGATCATATTACCTGAAAAGACTAAAACTATCTCTTGTTTCTAACTACACAGTTGTATGACTTGACGGGTGAACAAGGGTGACTGTGATCAAAATACACCATTTGAGATTCTCAATCAAAATTATATTAAAATGTGAACAAAGACATGCCGCAAAAACTTGAATGTAAAAATCCTATTTATTCTACTTGAGGCTGGAGAGGTGGCTCAGCAGTTAAAAGCACTGGCTGCTTTTGCAGAGGACCTGGATTCAATTCCCAGCACCCACACGGCAGCCAACAACTCTCTGTAACTCCAGTTCCAGGGGATTTGATGCTCTCTTCTGACCTCCGTGGGCATTGCAGGACATGGGCACACTTACACACACACAGGCTCCATACTCAATACACAAAATACAAAAAAAGAAATCTATTTCTTCTACTAAGGTAACCGTTAGGGACTGGTGAGGTACGACAGAGCCATTTTCATGTTTTTTTTTGTGTGTGAGTAGCAAAAGTTTTATTGCAAAGTTATGTAAATGAGATGGCTTAATTATTGATACTTTGAATTGTTAACATGCTGAACACTGACAGACATAACCCACATGTGGTAAACCACATACGGTTTATCTTTGCAAGTAGGGTTAAAAAGAGCAGTGAGTTGAAGAGCTACTTGTTACAAAGATGCTAACACACAAAGGTGTAATGTGGGAGAGCCGATGTTAGTCTTAACTCCTAGTAAGTCAAACAGTAATACTACTAATGGCTTATCCACCAATCTAACCAACAATCTCAATATCAGACTCAGACTGCAACTGAGAGCCCTCAAGCTCTGTGTTCTTTCCATAGCACCACCTCATCTCAACACTTAAGTTCCAAAGCTTTCCTACCAGCCATGGAATGTTTCTGTTTTGGTTCTGAGTTTGAATCATGGGTTCAGTCCATACCTCTTGCCCAGTATACACATGGCAATGCCCCTCACACTCTGCTTATGACAAGGGCTGGTGTTTAAACACACTTTAAATAGGAGATGGCACATTAACAGGGCAAATTAAGACACTTGTTTGCGGCACAGCGTCAAGCAAGCTAACCTGTGTCTAGAAGACGAGGGGGTCCTCCTCCTTCTAGAGCGTGACCTCGATCTTGAATGTCTCCTCTTTTCTTCCTTCTTATCTAGATTTAAAAGAAAAAGAATCTGTGTTTAAATAGGAAGATTAGTCCCATTCTTAGTCTTAAGAGACTAAGGATTTAAAATATTTATTATTTTTATTTTATGTGTATGAGTGTATTGCCTGCATGTATGTGAGTGTATCCATGCTGTGAAGTGCCCATGGAGATCAGAAAACCGTGTTGGATTCCCTGTAACTGGGGTTTTGGGTGGCTGTATATGGATGCTGGGAATTGAATCTGGGTCATCTACAAGAGGCTCTTAACTACTGAGCTATCTCTCTAGCTGCTAGGCTAAAGATTTTTTTTGGGGGGGGGGGGTAAGTCAGAGGACAGCTGGTTTTTCTCTCTTGCCATACTGTGGGAGTCAGGAACTGAACTCAGAGTTGCCAACAAGAGCCATTTACCTGCTGAGCCACCTTGCTGGCCGTCAAGGAATTACCTATCTCTATTTTAGCTTTTGCTTAAATGTTATTGAGTGATCATCATATATATAAAATCATCAGGAAGCTTGCTCTAGTGATACAACATTTCCTAACTTTTGGTAAGCCCTACACTGACTTGTAATTGTCTGATAGTGAAAGGTTTCTCTTACCATCTAATTTGAAATACTTTGAAGGCTCTAAGTGTTTCCCATAAAACAATGTATGAAAAGGATATCTTTCTTATCCCTTGGCTTCCTGGTTTATTCTCTAGAAAGTTCTAAGAGTTCTTTCTTAGGTTCTTTCAGAAACACAACTGAAATTCAAGTACTAACGTAAACATTGTAAATTCTTCCCCCAACACTGGGGAGGCAGAGGTGGGTGGGTTTCTGTGAAGTCCAGGCCAGCTGGGGCTACAAGGAGACCCTGTCTCAAAACAACAACAAAAGTTCTAGTAATGCATGCCTGTGTCTGTTTGGGCTGCCAAGAACACTCCATCTTTTTTTCTCACTCGCTTAATTTAGTATGACTTTTGTCAAGGTGATTAATATTCATAACTCAGGTAAGAGTCATGATTCAATATTGCTCTCATTATGTTACCAACAGTATCTGACCCCAGGAAGCCAGCTTTCCTCCCAGTTCCATCTGTCCTTCTTCCCCACAACCCTCCAATTAATACTGTATGAAGTATCATCCCTTTAACGGAGGACCCACATGTGCTCAGTACCAAAATGGGAATGAGCTTGTTCTGTCACATTTAGGTCACTTCATTCACAGGCTCTAGCTGACTGTGAATATTATTAACAAAGCCACAAAATCTAGACTCCATAAACAAACCACAGAAGCAGTTGGAGCAACTGCAAATCCAGCTGTGTATCTGAAACTCCTGCCACGTGACTACCACTAGCCTTATGAATTAAATGATGTGTTTAGAGCATTTGGTATCAGTTTGTTCATTACTTTGAAATTACTTCCCTAGTAATATGAACACTAAGAACATTCCCATTTATTAAGGAGTAAGAGTAAAAAAAAAAAGGGGGGGGGGGGAATTAGCAAAATGTAATTCACGGCCACAGATTTGTACACACTTACAGTGTGCATACCCTGAGCAGCAACAATTCATTTAATCAACCTCAAGAAGAAAATCTGTCCTGAGGCACAGCTTAGTGACAGAGCATCCACTTGGCATGTGGAAAGCCACAGGTTCCCTCAGCAGCAACTACCTACCTCATCCCCTACCCCCAAAATGTCTCAGTGGCACTCTATTAACATGCTTTCTCGGAATTTAGGAACAACTTAAAACTGACTAGAATATTAGTCCCTTAGGCCAGTACCAGTTGCACCAAGAATCGTAATTCAGCACTCAACACAAGCCTGTGCAGGCACTTTACCTGGCTCAATAGCGGCAGAAATCAAGGACTGGGCCTCACGCACTCTCTTCATGGCTTCCTCTATTTCTTTACTAGAGGTGTCTGACTTTAGACTTGGTGAGACAAGACCTGCAGCGACATGATTCAACCTGAAACAGAAACAAGAACTCAGAACGGAAATACTTCAGAATCTAAGGTCCCACTTTAAATAAAGGCACATTTCATACATTTGAATAAAACAACCCTTGAAAGCACGGGGGAGGCGTCCTTAAGTTTAATAAGCCACTGTGCAGTGTAACATGCTTTGAAGGGTTACAGGGTTGACTCCACTTGAAGGGTTTACAGGTATCTGGTAAGAAAAGTAATCTATTTGGGGCTGGAGAGATGACTCAGCGGTTAGGAGCACTGACTGCTCTTGCAGAGGAGCCGGGTTCAATTCCCAGCACCCACATGGTGGCTACGAACCATCCTTAACTCCAGTTCCAGGGGAACCTGAAGCCCTCTTCTGACCTCCGCGGCACTGCACGACGTATCTATCTCTTAAATACCCATTAACTTTCCATCATCAAGCACATTTTAATAAATGCTAATTTTAGAAACTATGTTGATGCTAAAAAATTTAACTTCCATTCATATGATTTAAAAAATTTTCTACATCTCAGTTTCTGGGGGAAAGCATTCGTGGATTACCTTTTATCCTGCAGATGGGGAGAAACTGAGGCAGTGGCTAATGGTCACCAAAGTTACACATGAAATCATGACCGCAAAGGCTAAAGATACCCCTTTTAAGGGCTTACACACATGCAAGAAGAAATTACAGACATGAAATTTAGTATGGTAATAACCTGTGGGGACAGGAAGGCATTGCCAAGAAGAGCACAAATGACTACCAGGTCAGAGCAGCTATGCCCACTCCCTCACGCGCTCCCATTTCCTGACAGTGACTTTCACCAACTTATGAGGAAACAGCTTAAAGCTCCAATTTAGTTTACCGGGAAACTACCAACGAAAACCTCTCAATAATTTGTCACACATCAAGCAGGAAAGAATTGGAGTATTGTATTAAGAAAAGAGTAAGTGGGGCTGGAGAGATGGCTCAGCAGTTAAGAGAATTGGCTGCTCTTGCAGAGGCTTGCGTCTCAGCACCCACAAGGTGGCTAACAATCGTCTGTAACTTCAGTTCCAGGCACCAGGCGCCTTCTTCTGTCTTCCAACGGCACTGAACGACACAGGTGCACTTAACGCACATGCAGGCGATAAACTCATAAACATAAAAATTAAAAAAAAAAAAGAAAAGAAAAGAAAAAACAAAGTGCTATGAAGAGACTCCAGTGTGTATTTTAAGCTAATCGCTCTGCTAAGAAGCCCACTTACAATCATGAAGTACCCAAAATAAACCCTTCATACATGGGCTCATTTTTTAATTCCTTTCTTGTCTCTACAACACAATATTCATGTACTAAGAATAGCTAACTTTCTTTTGGTTATTAACAATAACTGTTCTCGACTGGATACGGAGGCTGTTTGTTAACCCTCTAAACCCAGCACCTGGAAGGTACAGACGTCTGCAGTCAGGCTGGACTATACAGTGAACTAACTCATGACAAGGTTGTGGTACACAGAGACTTATCTCAAAAAACAGCTAACCTCTGGACATCCACACAATACACACCCACAGGGAATAGAGGGGGAGCTTACTTGGGATCAACAGTACTCATAAGTTTCAGCAACTGATCTGCGGCAAGAGACTGAAAAAGAAGAAAACAGACAATGAGAACACGAGACAGTGATGACTACTGCGTTTTCTTAGTTTGCTGAGAAGTCCTGGGACAACCTAGTGAACCTATAAAAGTCCAGGGCTCTATGCGTTCCTCTGACCAACAGAGGATATACAAGCTATGTCTCTAAAGCTTCTGTTGTGATCTTTGAACAGCATCCAGTGACATCAGTGGCTATAGCTGTGAAAAGAGCAGCACTGAAGACTGAGGCCTAGGAGTCGGCATTTTACAGAATCAGAAAACAGAAACTCAGAACTCCTTAGGTTATCATGACATCTCCAAAATGTTAAAGACTGCAGAATCAAAGTTCTTTGAACGTCTGAAGGATAATGACTGACAGCTCAGCAGCACTTTAAAGTAGGAAGGTCTCTAACACTGCAAACCCTGAATGCAAACTGACACCTAATTACAATTCCTTATAAAAGCACCATGTGGACATGCACTAAGCGTACCTGGGAGTTCAAGTTTGTTCCAGGAAGCCCAAGAGCAGCAAGGGCAGGGTCGAGAGTCGGAGCTCCCAAAGCCGCCAACGGAACAGCGCCAATCTGGAAAATCCAAGTTTGTAAGTATATTCACGCATATAAAACTTCATGTTTACTTATTTACTTTCTGCATTGGATCAGATAGTAACTTTTTCATTTGTGCAGACTGTGGTTTCCTGTTGTAAGTAATCAATAGCATATACCTATTGCTATTGTAGTTCAAAATCAGCCACATGGTATATAAACATACGGGTACAGTTTCAGTAAAAATGTACCAATGCAAACAAGGCCGTGCCGTGGCCCACGAGCTACAGCGTCCCATGTTCCTACATGGAGGCCCAGCTTCTCGTTATTTAAAGAACTTCTCCACTCTGAGATTTAGAAAGAAAAACAAGCATTTCCACATGGCCTTGTGAGCTCCAGTTATAAACATTTACTGTTTCTTGAACCACACCCCCTGGTCTTTCCTGCTCTGTACTACACCAGGATGGGCCCCCACGCACTTCTCCTCTGGCAGTTGGCATGATGCCGGCCATCTCATGACTAAGGGATGGACACTGATGAGCACACAGCTTCTGTTTCCAGCTCCTGGACTCGTTTTGATTATTCCCGTAGTTCTGAGTCCTCTGAGGGATACACCCAGTGGCCCTATTCTCCCAGTGAGTTTTAGTGCTGTCTCCTAGAGACAATTTCCCAGAAGTTCTGTGGGAACCCAAGACTCACCCAGACTTTCAAAGAAATGTGACTCTCAGCACAAAACTGGGAAAGGTGCCCAAGCCCTCTAATGGAAACGTTTATTCTTTGCGCTCCTTCTCCTCAGCACTGCTTCTCACAGCCCACACTCACTAGACTTCCCTTAATATACAACCATGACTGTCTCCTTCCTGAGAGAATTTTAACTAAACCATGACTAAATAGATAAAGCATGCAAATCTCATAGAGGCAGTCTGACTTTCCTTCCACACACCTATGCTGAAGTTCGCTAGTTTTAATTAACACGTTACAAATATTTCCACTCTTTCAGAATTCAATGGAGTAAGTACCTGAGTAAGTGGGTTGGGGGTAGGCAGGAGTCCACCACCAGGCAGAAGGCCTGCCACTGCATTAGCTGGTGCCAACAGAGACAAAGCCTTAGTCTCATCAGGAATAACTCCTGCAGAGAAATATCCTTGCATGAGAACACACCCTCTTGTAAGAAAGAAAACACACAAAAACACCCAGAAAATGTCTCCCTGATACACCACCTGAGTTTGTTGAAAGTACTTATGTTCGCTAAAATATAAAGTTTGATCTCTAGATTATTTATCATTAATTTTATGTCAGAATGAAAGTTCAATGTGTGAAATGTTTCCTTTTTCTCTACAAATGGTTAAGTTTCTAGAGTAAAAAAAAATAGCACAATACACACTACTGTTTTGTTAACACTGCCAAGATTTCATCACCTGTACTCGATTTTTAAGTCATGAACCAAACGTAAGCAAGCACAGTCGGTTCTCCAGGGGTGTGCTCTCAACTTTCAAAAGCTGTTTTATGAACAACGACTCGTGTCGGCCGCTTCACTATAAAGCACACAGAAAAATCAAGATACACAAGACAAAAAAAGTTTGATTTAGGGGTTAATAATATGGCACAGTTACTATGATTTTTACACCTACCATACAAATTTTGTAAAAATTAAAAGAAGAAAAGTATGTAAAGGAAATATTCTGTTGGAATCAAGAGTAGGGCTTTTGCTGACTCACGAAAATGACTATATGTTTCTGATGGTCTCTGAATACACAGGGGATGTGTGTGGGGGGGAGGGAGTGGGGGAGAGAGACAGAGAGAGAATAGGTAAAACAACATGGCACATTCCTTACCTGTACAGTAAAAGGCTTTAGGTTCCAACATGTGCCATGCTAACCATATCAAAAAATGTTGCTATGGTGGTGTCAGATCAATAGCTAACTTATCCAAAACTCCTTAAGCCCAAAACCGTATGTATGTGTGTTTTAAAGCCTAATCTGTGTATTCAGATAAAAATCTAAAGGTCCTAAGACATACTTTTATGTAGACAATTTAAATTCTATCCAACAGCAAAAGCCCTATACAGATGGATTAATCTGTTAATGTGCCCAAGCCCCCAAAATGAGAGTTCAATAATACAATTAAACTACATATTTGCAAATACCAGTAGTATTTCTGTAATACATATTAAGAAACTGCATCTCATCATAAAACATACAATATGTACAGGGCACTTAAGAGAAACTGGATAAGCTGCAGAAGAAAACTGTTGGGTGGTATTTTCAGCAGGGCCTGGTATATAGTTCAGGCTGAACCAGGGAAAAGAACTGTAAAACACAACAACAAAAAAGAAAAACCACTGTTAAATAAAGGTAATGGTTCCTTCCACCTACACTGAGAAGTGCCGATAATATAAACAATGTATACTACACAGCACTGCTAATCTTGCTTGTGTCAGAGCTGTCATCAATTTAGATACCAAGAGTTATGGAGGGAAGGGGAAAAGATCATTTAGATATAGGGCATTAATGCATAATATTAACAAACCTACCAAAATTAAGGGATCATTTTGCATGCAAAATTATGTCTCAAGAGGACATATTAAATATCAACATCTTACTCAAATTAGTGCATTTGCAACATTCCTGGCAAACTACAATCCTCTTGAATTTACTGTGAGACCCCTGAGAGAAGATCTGCATCCATTAAAAAGGTCATGCATCTGATCCTCCGATTAAAAAAGACTAAAAATAAAACTACAATTTAAAAGTAGCAATGAGGCCCCTCACCAGTTAAGTTTCATGCGTCAAGAGTATTTTTTTTACTGCTGCTTTGATAGAACCATGAAATACTGCATGAATGTGTAGAAATGAAAGAAAAAGAAACAGACAAAAGAAACAAACATTAACCAAGGAACCTAAATAACCCCAAATCCATTACTATTAAGAGTTCCTTCCAAATTCAACTATCTCAAAAGTTTTACCAAGTAAGACTATTTCTTACCGTATACTTTTGGTCTAATGTTCTAACACACTGACCAAGAACCAACACCAAAGTGTTAAGAGCTAAAACCAGAGTGAATGGTGACAAAGGGATTGAACACATCAGTTTACTTGTGGAATAACATTAACACAGCACATCATACCACAAATTAAATGCACCAAAAACAGATCGGAACTAAGTACTTTTATAGCTCTATATACACTCCCCCCAAACCTCACTTCAAAAACACATCTATAAATTACTATGGTTTAAAATAGTCATAAAATCCAGTTATATGACATACTGTATTACACCCCCGGCTTAAGAATAACTTTGCCTATAAGTAAGAGCTCATTCAAGTTAAAGGCTAACTGCAGCGTTCTGCACATTACTCACATGGTATGACCCGTTTCAAGACCTATCGTCTATGTATTTTACTCATCCTGAATTTGGGTTCTGTGAGTTCTCTGTTGGTGTAAGTTGGTTAAGTCTTATCTTACAACAGGTACACTGAAATAAAAGGAGTCACTTATCTCAAATGTACTAAAATAAATCGGCTTGTTTCTTTTCTTTCCTTCCTTCCTTTCTCTGTCTGTCTTCTCTTTCTCATAAAAACATTGTAACTGACCTCACATACTTCAATACCATGGAGATAGATGTACTGTTACCAAAGTAGCATGCCTTAACTTATCTCTGAATGTTCATTATTTAGAAAACCAGAGGCAATTTCTCTAAGATTAGGTATTTCACAACTTTTACAAGGTATGGTGCTAAATTTTCACATTTACTCAATTATCTACGATAGCATCTAAAAACCAACAGTTCTAAGATTCTGCCCCTACTGACCAGTTTATTAAAGGGGAAAGCATATAGATCCTGGACAGTATATTAACTAAATTAAAATTCAGTAAGTATATCATGTCAATGATTTCCCCAATAAGAATTTATAGTTACCAAAAAGCAAATCAAGTAGTAGTACACTGGGAACAAACTAATTATAAAGTATGCCTTAGAAACTGTACAAAATGGCATTAAAATAGTGCTGTCTTGTCACAGTGGCTTTTTTAGATCCAAAAACCTGCTCATTTTTTTTCTGTCAAATTACTTTAACAGCCTAAAACGTAAAAAGAGAGAACACGTCGTTAAGCATGGTTACACCAGGACAACACTTGGGGTTGAGTGCTTGCTGGCCTTTAGTTACTGTCTAGACTCCCCTGTAGCTGCAGAGGACCCACTGTTCTCAGTCATCTGGAAGGGCTCTGCACTGCCTTCTCCACTACAAAATCACACACACAAATAACAGAGAGAAGAATTCATTATTTTGAGATATTCTAGAAAATATAACAAGAGAACAAGAAAATTTGGCATAAAAACCAACACCCAGTGCCCATCTGGCACCTAAACTATAGGAAATCTTCAACTTCTGCAAAACTAAACTTGCAACCCTTGGTATACTGGAATTTAATGTGAATTTTTAAAAAAATTACCTGTGAGAAAAATCGAGGAAATAAAACTGGCCTAGCTTTTCACTTAAAACTAAAATATCATGCATTTATCTGAAGGTTTCTGTGTAAGAATGCACACGGTGTGAATTGTTTACCTTTGGGACTTCTTAATTAAAACTTAACATTGACTATATCTCAAGAGTTTCAATTAGGGATTCAGTTTTAATGAACTTAAAAACGTTTTAAAGAAAGCAAAAAAAGTTAATTACATATAAAATAGACCTGATTTTTCTAATTTTTATAATAAAAAAATCTACAAGTAAAATGTATTCACTGCAGTATAACAAGGGCTTCAGGTGCTGATGGCTGGGAGCTGGCATCTATCAATGATCACTCTACAGCTACCCTGGGCCGACGGCCAAGCTGGGATGCCCACGTAGGAAGTGAAACACAGCACAAACCTTCAGCATACGGTACGACTATCAAAGCTCTGTCAACGAACACAGTGTTTGTCAGGTGCTGTGCCACAACTGCAGAGTCTGGATCATGGAACTTAACAAAGCAGACCCGAGAGGAGACCGGCAAAGGCGAGTCACTACAAGACAAACAAACAGTGTTAGAGAAGAGTGCTGTCAGCTGGAGCACAGGTAGGTGACTTGCGAACCAATGTTTGCACCCCAAAGGGACAGTACTCAGCTAAGAATACCTAAACGTATAGTTATTTATTTTAACCAACTGAAAGTAAATTATCTTGCATAATCTACTACTCAAGTGACCTAAGAGAACAAACATATGCAATCACTATTTCAATGCAGAACACAACAGTTGTTAGAAAAACTTTCTAAGCCAGGTGTGGTGGCGCACGCCTGTTGTCCCAGCACTTGGGAGGTGGAGGCAGAGGCAGGTGGATCTCTGTGAGTTCAGCCCCCAATACCAACCATTTTTAAACATAGGTTAACAGTTTTAACTTAGAAAGTTTTCATTATAGCCAGGTGTGGTGGCGCATGCCCTTAATCCCAGCACTACCAGGAGGCAGAGGCAGGTGGCTCGCTATGAATTCCAGGCCAGCCTGGTCTACATAGTGAGTTCCAGGCCAACTGGGGCTACAGGGAGACCTTGTCTCAAAAAGACAAAAAATTTCATTCTAGTTAACTCCTCAGAGTAAAAATTATTAAGAACAGTTTACTTCTAAAGTGTCAGAAGAGGCAACAGCACAAGTCTGCAGTCACTGGGGTAGGAGCTGTAAGCTCCAGGCCAGCCTGGAATATGCCTCAAAAAGCAGAAAATAAAAAATAAAATAAAAGCACATCTGTCTGATAATCAATGAGTATTCCTGACCCTTTTCACCGCAGGACATAAAAAAATGTCTTTGCACTTCAAGGCGTTCTGGTCTGAAGCCCTTTCAGTTGTTACACAGCACTCACCACACTTCAAGTCAAGCCAGCTCATGGCTTAGCTCAACACTTCCACAGACAAGAGGAAAACGAGGGGTGAGGCGTAAGGCATGCAGAAAACAATGAATCATGCAGAGGAACTTTTAAACAGCAGAGGGTCAAATTTCTACTATACACTCTGTTTTTAAAAAAAAAAAATTAGGGCTGGAGAGATGATGGCTCAGCGGGTTAAGAACACTTCCAGAGGATGCAGGTTCAATTCCCAGCACCCACGTGGCAGCTAACAACTGTGCATAACTCCAATTCTGGAGGATTCAACGCCCTCTTCTGGCCTCTGCAGGCTTTGCACAACACCGGTGCACTTACATACTTGCAGACAATATACTCATACACATAAAATTAAAAAAGAGAGAGGAGCCAGGCGTGGTGGCACATGCCTGTAGTCCCAGCACTTGGGAGGCAGAGGCAGGCAGATCTCTGTGAGTTCAAGGCCAGCCTGGTCTACATAGTGAGTTCCAGGATAGCTGGGGCTATAGGGAGACCCTGCTTCAAAAAGACCAAAAAATAAAAAATAAATAAAAAAAAAGAGAGAGGAAAAAAAAAAGATTTGAAAACCAGTGTCCTAGGACAGTAGCACTCTCACAGTCCATGGATGTGGGGAAAACTTAGTTCCTGGACAGTACCACTTGCATAAAATCCAGGTCTCTGAAGCACTAAGTTCTTCTTTAATATGAACTCAGGGTAAAGAATCAACTACCAACCCAGCTGCATCTCAAGAATGAGTAATTAAAGGGAAATAATGTAATATAATTTATTGCTATTAGACTAGAGCTTCACTGTCAGCTAGACATGGTGGCACCTTTAATCCCAGCACTTGGGGAGACAGAGGCAGGCAGATCTTTGAGATCCTGGTCTACATAGTGAGTTCTAGGTCAGATGGGGCTACAGGGAGACCCTGTTTCAACAAAACCAGAAAAGAATAGAGCTTTACTGTAAACTTTTCTAATAAACAGGACATACATACTTAATGTAATTACATCAGTATTAGTTATACTACATAGATACATATTCACTGTTGAAAAGTAATCAAACTTTTTCCATTTGGGCACTAACAAAAATTTTTATAGCTTGAGAATTTACATGGTGCTGTACATGGTTTGCGTACTGAAAACTGTTAGAACCTCCTTAATTTTCTTCTTTTGGTAAAGATTTAATTTTAATTATATGCGTGTCTGTGCATGTCGGATCCACTGGAGCTGGAGTTCCAGGTGGTTGTGGGTGGCCAGACTGGGTCCTGTGAACTGAACTTGGTCCTCAGCAAGATCTCTCCAGTCTCTGTACTTACATTTTCCTAAGGGGCATCGTACAGTAGTCACAGATCCTAATTCAATTCAAAGCAAAACTGACCATTTTATCCACAAGGAATAGAAACTGCCTTGTTAGAGGCTTTTACTGCTGAATGTCTCTAAAAGGGATAATGCAGCCCAGGTTGGCCTTAGACTCCTG